ATATTTGAAGCAAGTTTCCTTGTAGAATGGTTTACGGCGAGCCCAAAGAGAAAGACGAAAAATGTTTGTTCAAAGGTAATACTATCCCTGCCTGTATTATTTGGTTCGAAGCCAGGGGTAAGTTTAAGTCACCTGTTGAACACGAAGTTTCTGCCGACGACAGTGTCGTGTGTCTCTAAAAACGTCTTCTGGTAGAAAACGGAGAAAAAGGTCCTGACCTGTGATTAGCAATTTGTTCGTTCAGTAGGACAACCCTGCCTATACTTATTAGGCCCCTGACGAGGGATAAAAATACGCCAATAGTTGAATACGAACTTTTGCTAGCGACAGTGTCGCGTATCTCTAAAACATCTTCTGGTAGAAAACGGAGAAAAAGGTCCGACCTGTTGGCAGCTTCAAAAGGAGAAAAAGTCTTGGTAGAGGGTGCAGTAGACATTGTTGAAATAAGATATTCCGGCCCGCATATGGGTTAAGGGCACGGAATAAATGAGTTGCCCGTCTACTCAGGTTGAGGACCGGGAAACAACTGGTTGCAAACGCTGGCCGTTTGAAACGCCGCGAAACGCGCGGGAAAATTCAAAATCTGTTATGAGTCCAAATCAGTAGGAGCTCAAAGTAGGTTACTGCTATGTTTAGCTGTGAGTGAAAGGTAGGGGTGAAAACACGCGCGCACACACGCACGAGTGTGAAAGGAAGGGAGGAAACTCGCGCGCGCGTAAAATTATAAATGGAATTAATGTGTTAATTCCATAAGTGTTTACTGTCTCTTATCATCAAAACGGAGGTGCCTGGTTCTAGAAAAAAATGGTGGAAATGTTTTTTGAAAAGCGTAGCTCAGTGGTCGTCAGGATCGATATGAGGTTCGCTTGGAGTGGGTGACTGGAGGGCGCTGATGATCTTTGCCAGGGCGTCGTCCTTCAGTTGTTCATCTGCGATGCCGAGGTGGTTGCAGATTCTCTCAGTGGGGATGGTGGTGGTGGAGTGATAGGCGAAGAATGCGTTGGTGGCGCGCTTGTGGGTGCGGGCGTTTTGTGGTGTGTGAGTTTTGGGAATGAGCTGTAAACCGTTAAACTCGCCGAGGCACCAAGATGGGATGTATACGAGGAGGTCTGAACCGCTTACCTCGAATGTCCTGCCTGCCGGTGTAGGGTCATTCGGGGCTTTCGTTTTCTTATGTCCGCAACCTCTGCTGAGCATGTCAGCCCATACATTTGATTCGCCTTCAACATATTCCAAGACGAATTTATAACATGAAATTTCTTCTTACCATCGTCGTATTTTGGCATTATTGAACTCTCGTTGGTCCAGGTATGTCAGCGATCTGTGGTCGGTGAAGATGACGAAGGGGCGGTTGCGAAGGAAATAATCAAATTTCAATATTGCCCACTTTATTGCATATGCCTCTCCTTCCGTCATGGACCAGTTCTGTTCCGTGGAGTTGAATGTATGGGAAGCGACCGCTATATCTTTCTTCCCGTTGTCGGCTTCTTGCATTAAAATTGCTCCACATGCGACGTCACTGGTGTCGGTGGTGAGTGTGAAAAGTTTGGAGAAATCTGGAAACGAGATGACGGGTGGTGAAGAGAGACGGTCCTTGATTTTTTTGAAGGTTCTGTCGGCATTTTGCGTCCAGACAAACGGTTTATTAACCTTGTTGAGTTCGTGTATGGGACCCATAAGTTTTGAAAACATAACTGACCTGATTTGTTCGTGAAGACGTGTCTCTAGGAATTGTCTGATCCACACTAAACGGCCGATAAGACTTTGTAATTCATTTTTTGATGCTGGAGGTTTCATTTCCTGGATGGCACGAACGTATTCTGGATCAGCCTTGAATCCTTCGCTGTTTACTATGCGTCCGAGGAATTTTGCCTCTGATGCAAGGAAGGAACATTTATCGGGATTCAGCTTGAGTCCGAATTTTCGGAGGGCAGTAAAAAATTGTTCGAGGGAAAGTATGTACTCCCTAAATGTCCTAGCGTGGACCAGGTTGTCGTCGATATAGGAAGAAATGTTGTCACGGGATGTGACCGTGGCTAGGGCTTCTGCTATGCAACGGGAGAAGATTTGTCCAGCAGATGTAAGGCCGAAGGCCAGGCGCGTGTATTGATAACATTGGTCCTTCCATGTAAATGCTGTTTTGTATCGGTCTCGCTTGACGATCTCAATTGGCCAGTAGCCGCTGCGTAGATCAAGGGTAGTAAAATATCTATTGCCTTTGCCGATTTTGTTGAACAAGTAGTCGATCCTTGGCATTGGGTAAGGGTCAAGATCGACTAAGACCTTGTTGAGAGTTCTTTTAAACTTAGCAACGACACGAATCGATCCGTTTTTCTTGCGTACGGCAAATACAGGGCTATTGAAGCCTTTGGGGTCGCTGCAGTTTTCAATGATACCTTCATCAGCCATACGCTTAATTTCGGTATCTACGTCTGCTTCCAAAGCCTGGGCTATCGGGTGTTGTTTCTGGCTGCGAGACTGGACGTTGGTTGGTATGCGGATGTGTCGGATGAATGTGCCTTTGCTGCTGCTTTCGGTGCCGATAATGTCAGCGTAGCGAATGAGTAGGTTTGCAGTGGCCTCTAATTCGTCTCGGTTCGGGTGGTTTAGTAGCGATAGTCCCATGTTATGTTTTAGCCAGGTTAGCTTTTGATCCAGTGTCTGGATGTTGGGCTGTAGTTCCATAGTAGGCTGGTTTTGGATGATGTCAGCTTGGGCGCCATATGCTGGATCGTTGGTTGACGATGACGGTGATATGATTGCGGCTGTGTGTGTTGTATATCCCGAAGAAAGTGTGCGTCTGAATTCTATAGTCGCATTTTGGTTGTCGATTAGATAGGAATCGAGCGTGTTGTGACGTAGGATATTTTGGCCGATCAGGATTGGTGTGGTTTGGGTAGTTACTAGCACGTTAACCTTTTTGAATGTGGGTGAGTCTCGACTGCCGATGGTGATGTCGCGAGTCAGTTCGCCGAGGGCGGTGGTGCTGCCGTTGATTCCTTTTACTACGACATCGGAGCGGATCATGAGTTTCTTGGCTTCTCTGGGTAACCGAGATATTGGTACGATGCAGGAAAAGGTGATGTCCCTGAAGTTGAAGGTGGACTGGACGAGCGGTGAATGGTGAGCGAGTCCTTGAAAGTTGAAGGTGTGATGGCTGACGTAGGGGCATGGCGAACGAGGCATCACATCTCGTCCTGCCCGAAGCGAAAATCCTGTTCCACATCATTTATGGCTTGTATATTGTCATTCGTTGCGACGATATGGGCCTGTGCCCGAGTGCGAGGTGGGTGGCGATATACACAGTTGCGTCCATGGTGGCAGGGGCGACCTCTGAGGTAGTTCTTGCACACGCTGATTCGTGGTGTGTGCTGATGGTTTCTGCGTGTCGGATGGTGGCCATGTTCTGGAGGGTTGGTGAGGCCCGTCTGCTGTGGGTTTGGTTGCCTGCTGGGTCGGAGTGGCGCATTTCTTTGGTTTGACCGCTGTGGTTTCTGTGTGAAATACACAGTGTCGTGCGAAGTCGTATCGTTGGATTTTACACCGCGATCAAGATATATTTGAGCTTCGGAGGCTATGCCAATGGCTGAAGAGTGGTTGTCCATTGTCTTGACGATATGTGGGTAGAGATTTGAGTTCCAAATTTTCACCTTTTCGCTCATTGGCATAGCGCCGATGATGAAATAAGTCCATCGACTGTTAAGTCAGTATTTTTGTCTTTTTTGTATTTGTTTTTTATGTGGACGTCTGCCTCTCTAAGGGTGTTTTCGAGTCGACCCGCGAAGTCTGTTAATTTTTCGCCGTCTCGCAGTTCCAGGTCCCAGGCTTGACTGAGGTGTTGGAAGTTAGTCATCTGGCTTCCGTGGGCTCCTAATAAGTATTCCTTCAGTTGTTCGAAGGTGGATATGTCCTTTTTTGAGTCAACCATCTGCTGAAAGATACTTTGGTCTAGTAAATCTTTAGCAGACTTGACGAATTCGCATTCCAGGCTGGGATAGGTGCTGAGTTCTGGCGTGACGTGGATTGTGTATGCTTTGTTTAGGGCCGTGATGAATCGGTTCACGTCGTGTCCAGGGTGAAGAGTTTTCTCTAGCTTCAATGTGTCGCGTATAGTTTGTTGGCGCATCATTAAGCTGTAATCGCCGTTTGTTTGAGCGGTGGGAGGTGTTGAAGTAGTTTTTAGGGCAGTCAGCATGTCGTTTATGTCGGCTTGAATTTCCTGTATCGTGGCTTCGGAAGTCTGTGTTGGTCCCGTTTTCAAGTTGACAGGTAGAGTTTTCTGTTCCTTGATGAGAGTAAATAGTTCGGCTCGGGTGAAACTCGTGTAGTCGGCCATATTTCTCTTGCTGTACGCTTCTGACACCAGTGTTATAGATAAGCGTATGGTTGCAAGAAAGAAATACGACAACAATAGAAATAGATTTACGTGGTTTATTTCAACAGGAACGAGAGGGTTTGGGACAGCTATCTTGTGGTAAAGTTCATAAGCCGGCTTTCGGATCTGGTCGATCTCTCATAGTAGTTCACACATGTTGACGGTGGTTGACGCTCTCCTGCTGACAGCTGCTCAACGTGACCGGTCTCTTTTGTGGCCACCTGTTGACTGACTGTTGAACTTCCGTGTGACCCCTTTTATAGCGATTTTTATGGCTTAACAGGCTCGAGAAATGAAGCTAGTATAATTAGGAGGGAAGCATTTTTATTGGACGAAAAATAGAGCACTTTAAATATTATTTTATTTTTCGACCGGAACTCGTGTGTCGGAAACATTTGTAAAGAAAGATAATGGTCATTTTGTGACGGGGCTTTGTCCCGTTCACATCCGGTTCTCGCTCTTGAGTATTTGCCTGTAAATCAGCCGAGATATGTCTTATTTTATTTTATAACAAGTCAAACAAGTTAATGTTCCCAAAAACTTTTCCAATTTCTTGAATCAAATTTAAATTCAACTTCCCTCCATTTTAAAATGTACTCTAACTTAAATATTTTTTTAATTTCAGAACTCAGAAAATTTCTTGGTAGATCACTACCAATTTACCAGTTGGCCTGATCATGGTGCACCAAAAGATCCAGGGCATTTTATTGCATTTAGAAATCAAATACACTCAAGTTCTTGTTATAAACCACCCATACTTGTGCACTGCAGGTAGGGTAAATAAACTTTAATTATATTTTACTTTGGGGGAAAAATTATTTTTGTTATATATAAAGTCCACAGCTTAATGATGAAAAGATTCATTTTTCAATATAAATCTTTTTGTCAATACACTTCAATGAGGAATATTCATATAGATAAAAAAAAAATTAGTGCGAAAATTTTAGATAAAGATTCAATACATAACTACATATTAGGCTATAGATTTGTTGGTGTATATATATATATATATATATATATATATATATATATATATATATATATATGTTGGTATATATATATGTACAGTTGTTGGGAGAGTAAATGAAAACCCTGTCTTTAGACCCAACTCGTGAGCACCCAACGTAAAGTTGGCCGTGAGAGAAGCACTGCTCACGTAAATGCAGACCTGCGATGCTAAGCGTCTGTCCTTGTGATTTGTTAATGGACATAGCAAAGCAAAGCTTCACGGGAAATTGTGAGCGACGAAAGTTGGTTGGTATGCTTGCGTCTGACGGCAGAAGATGCATCCTGGGAATCAGAACGAATTCCCCCTTGCTGCAGCCAGTTGCAATGGTCGCCTCAATCAGGTTCGGAGAAAGGGATTTTATAATAGGCGAGTCCCGTTGCACTGTTTAGGTGGCAGCAGATTCCTGATTAGCATAATCGGGGCCGAAGAATATGGGATACTCAGCTAATTCAGATGGATCGGAAGTTCTGTCGATGGACGTATAATATGACATTGCCCGGGAATGCAATCAAAAGGTTGATGGAATCAACTGTACAGTTCTTCGGTGCCAACATGGCCCTCCCAGCAAACCAATCGGCATCGGCAAAATTAGTGGATAGGTTGTAGAAGACTGCATTCATCAATTCATCCGGTGATTCAACAGTGGTGGCAAGCTGATCCATCTGCACAAAACCCTGTGTGTCAGATGGCATTTTCCCCTTCCCAAGAGCAAGAAGGTCCCGTGCGAAGTCATCGGATCTGGAGTCCCCATTCAAGTAAGCACACATGTTCGTGCTCAGTTTAAGAGTCTCCACGTGGCGCCAAAGGGCAGACGACTTCAGACAGGCGCGGACAGCGTCAGCGCGTGTACCTTTAGAAATAACAGATAGAGTCTGCCTAAAGTCGCCTGCGAGAAGAAGGGTTACTCCACCCATGGGGTCGGAGGAGTCGCGGATGTCTTGGAGACTTCGGTCAAGTGCCTCAAAGGCGCCCTTGTGTGCCATCGTGCACTTATCCCAAACTATAAGTTTGCATCTCCGCAGAATTTCAGCCTGTGGCGAATTCTTTGTTATGTTGCAGAGAGGAGTTTGTGACCGGCATAGATCAAGCGGCAACCTAAAAGCCGAATGAGCGGTTCTACCTCCCGGTAGCAATGTTGCAGCAATCCCAGAAGATGCGACCCCAATAGCGGTCTCCCCACGACGCCGTACCTCTGCCAGGACCAATTTAGTAACAAAAGTTTTGCCAGTTCCTCCGGGCGCATCTAAAAAGTATATACCTCTACTGGAGCCGTTTGCCTGTGCTATGGTAGTGAAAGCAACCCTCTGATCAGGTAGAAGTTTGGGCTTGTTTTCGGTAATGCATGGAGTAGGATGTTTCCCCCAATAACTCAGTTGGTACAGTGTCAAAACCGTCTCTGAGCGGTGGTGGTAAACCGTAAGTTAGTAAAGAGGCATCTCCCAGATCGAAAACAACAACATCTAGGGCCACAAGCGCTCTGTTGAATAGGAAGTCATTGAAACCGCATTCAACTCCTGGGCTGTTACGCTGAACGGAAAACAACACATCCTCTGACATGGATTCTCTGTATTGGGAGTCGTCTTCAAGCAATTCCAAACGGAAGCATGCCTCTCTATAAGACTGGAACTCTATGCCGTTGACAGTGCGAATATCTGTGAAACTCCTTGGTCCAGCAATTTCATGAAGTAGAAGGCGGAGGTTAAAGCACTCCTGTTGACTGGGGCGGGGGCACAGTATAAACGCGTCCAAGTTAGACCTTACATCGTGATAACAGTCGACAGGGTCGCCAGCCTTTCGCCGAACTCACCGGTTGTTTGACCACACGTAGTAGGAAGGGGACTTGGGGGTATATCAATGTTTTGGTAAAAGCATCTGTTGAGCATAATTTAAAGAAAGCCGTTAGGGTTTCCGCAACCTGCTGGGCGTTTTGTTCGGTGAACTACATCCTCTGTCCATTTTCTAAGTGAACAGCAAGCTACACAATGGCTGGAGCCCTTTGGTGTATGGGGAATCCGAAAATTCACCAAAAGGCCTCACTACTGCTGCAGTAGCGTCCAGCCACGTAATCGGCCACCCCGTCAACGCAATTGTCGCACCGGATACCGAAAACGACAGCATCACTGCCTTTATTAACGTACTTGCAGATGTACTTTATTGACTTAACCGAGTGGCAGTATTCAACGTTTACGTGGGCTCCAAAAGTCTTGGACAGCAGCGGACAATAAGGCACCACCCAACGATTGTCCAGAGTGTGCCCCTTAACTGTCACAGTTTTGCCGCCCTCAGCGGGGCTTCTACGTCTGTACAGTGGGTAACCATCCGTCGCAGTCTGCGTTTCTGAGATAAACTTACGGGGGTAACCCTTTGTGCAAGTGGGGCCGCTTGACCAACATGACCTTTTTTTCGTAATTCGCGCCACAGGGGTTGTGTATCATATTTAATGATTTCGTGGAGCAAAGGATCCAGCGCAGGATCCGGAATTTCAGCAGAAATAAAATCGTCTATTTTGTTTGCGTCAACCTTATCGTTGAGCCACAGCAGAATGTGGGCTTGAGGCAAACAGCGTTTCTGCCATTCCACTGTATACATATGACACTTAACGCGTCCGAAGACTTGCCCTTTAAGGATTAAATCCATAAGTTTACACAGCTGTAATCGGAAAACGTGGGCAATTAGGTCAGGGTGGTGTGAGTACTGCTGACCTGGAAAAAGTTCGCGTGTGATTTCAACCCATTTCGGATTGCACGTGAACGTGACAAACAAATCAGGCCTCCCGTAATGACGGACATAGGTCATTACGTCTTGTGTCCTTTCATGCATGTATCGAGGGCCACCAATGTAAGAGGAAGGCAAAATGCACGGTTTGCCGAGATTGCGTGGGTCACCATCAGAATGCAGACCATCACGAAGGTGAATGTAGGAGTCGGTTCTAAGTTTGGATTGGTTTAACTTGATGAATCCTAACCTCTCCGACTCCATTTTTGCAGCCATGTCAACAGCGAATTGAAGAAATAGTTGACGGCACCTGTGCAAGTGGTTAAATTCACCCTCCTTAACCATAAACATGTAGGCGTAGTAATCCCTACAGGAGACCGTCTTTGAGGTCGACATGGAATCGCTGCTTGCCTGGTATATTGGGATTTTGAAGTGGTACCCATCGCTTACGTATGGAAAAAGAAGTGGGTACTGGAGACAGTCGTATGAACGGTGGGTTTCACTGATGCGACGCAGACCACCGCCCCGGAACCTTATGACAATGTCACAGCTGTTAGGCTCCTCACCGTGGATGACTGCGGCGACTTCATTACATGCAGGAGCATTGAAGCGACGCTCATGCTCACCGTGAGGCCGTCTGTCTGCATCGATGACAACGCTGAAAGAGGGTGAAGAGTTGTTTTGCAACGAAAACTTTAAGCTTCGAATGTAACTTTTAGTTTCGTAAGCATGTCTTGTAGACGGAACAGAATGTCTCTACGGGGACCGACGGCAATATCGCTAGACAGAATGCCGAGACGCGCATCAACCTGCTCGTTGTAGTCAGCGAGAAAGTAAATTTGTAGGAACTGTGGTGGCTCTCCCTGATCAGCAAAAGTGATCCCATTAAGTGGTAAACCTGGCCTTGCAATTTGAAAGTAGACATCCATCCCCACTCACTAATAGCCTTTGCACCAAAAGACGTCATCTGGAAGCAACAGTTGTACTTCCGTATTGCTTCAAGAAAATGCGTTGACTCCGAAGTTGTACCCAGAAGGAGGTCTCTAAGCGGCTGGGGAGGTTCGTCTAAAGATGGGAGTTTGATTTTGCCCCCAGAGCAACAAAGCCCAGGTTGCTCACTGCCCACTTTTTTGCGTTGCAAAAAGTGCAAACTTTATCTATGGCTCCTATTTGCACGTCTCTCTTAGCGGAATAGTTGACAGTGCAGTCATAATTGTATGCGGCATTTGACCAAAATGACGCAGACGGCGAAGTTACGCCATTCAAAGAAGATCGAAGTTGGCTAATGTTTTCGAGCCGTTGACGGCGTACTTCAGAGTTTTCTGAAGCCCTGGCAGACGCAGTAGAGCGGGCATTTCTAACGCGACGAACAGTGGTCTGTGCAGGGCTTTCTAGGACTCTAGCAGATGCAGTGGAGCGGGCATTTCTAACGCGACGAACAGTGGTCTGTGCAGGGCTCTAGCAGATGCAGTGGAGCGGGCATTTCTAACGCGACGAACAGCGGTCTGTGCAGGGCTTTCTAAGGCTCTGGCAGACGCGGTGGAGCGGGCATTTCTAACGCGACGAACAGTGGTCTGTGCAGGGCTTTGTAAGGCTCTGGCAGACGCGGTGGATAAGGCACTTCTAAAGCGACGATAAGCGGTTTCTTAGGATTGTTCCGAAGCCCTAGAGGCGGTTGTAGCCCTAGTATTCCTAAGACGACGTGAAGTTGTTTGTTCGGGGCTTTCTAAACCCCTGGAACAATCTTTGGCGGTGGCGTCCCGCAAACGACGAAGGGTTTTCTGTGCTGGGGACTGTGAAGCCCTCAACCTAGCCAAGCGGACTGCGTCCTGTGAATTCTGAAGTGAACGTTCTTCAACTGAAATCCTGGCGCGGCGTGCGGACATGGTTGAAGCCGCTGAAGCCAACCTTTCAGTCCGCGCAGCGGCGCTTTCCGTAGATAAGCGAGCAGCTGAGCTCGAGGCCATCCGTGAAAGACGCAAAGAAGTCTGTTCAGGGGTTTCACTCGCCCTCGCTGCTCTAGCAGCGGAGGCAGCTGCCGTGCGCCGTCCCAAAAGTTTCCTCCTTTTAGGTGGCATCCAAACAGTAAAAACGTCAAAAAGGGTAAAGCTTAAAAAGAGATTTCGACAAATCCAAAACGAAAAAACGTGCACTGCTAACGTAGACACAAAAAGGGGAAAACTCAGTAAAATGAGTTCAGATGTTACTAAAGGGGTTCTCAAAACTAAAAAAGTGGAAATTTAAAAATGTAAACCAAGGGTAAATCCAAAATGAAATGGGTTTTTAGTACAATTGGCTAACGTGTGTGGGGTTGGGTTGGAACTATAAAACAAAAAAGCACAAGTGGGAAAAATTTAAATCTGCATGGCACTTTACTCTAATTGGCTCATTCGCTTGCTTAAACTCAACATTGATTTTGATTCCGCAGAAATGGGATGGGTGTGAAAAGTATTTGTTGTTAACATTCTTTTTTAATTCGTTTTTTCCAGTTATGAGTCCTTTTTTAAAGCTGATCGTTTTGTGTTCATTTTGTTTAATTATTTTTTCGTAACAGATTTAATGTTTAGTATAGAGCTTAGAAAAAATTTGCAGTGTGAGATGGGCAAGAAGTAAGGCATGTAGCAACATCATCACGGCAAAGGGCACTCCTTTAAAGGCAAGGAAAGGCAAAAATATTTTAAGTCAAGTGATAGCGATTGCTGTATGAATCGTACGATTTTTTAATCAAGCATGGGCAACGCCGGGCCATGCTGCTAGTATATATATATATATATATATATATAAAAGAAAGTCTGTCTATACTCTAAAATATAATGATCTTACTAGACATTTGGTATTTAAGATTTATCAGTACAAGAATTACATCTCAAATTTGTGATACATTTTTCCTCTAGAACTGTTCTTGATATATAAAAATGTATGCATTGTTATCCATATATATATATATATATATATATATATATATATATATATATATATCACTCACAGAATTATTAAGGCTCTTGATGATAAACACACCTCGAGGACCATAGCACAAGATATCTCAAAGGCTTTTGACAAGTTGTGGCACAAGCTCTCCAGTTATGGAATCACTGGAAGGGTCTTCTTAATCATAAAATTCTTCCTAACAGCTAGGTACCTGAAGGTAGTTATCATTGGCCATCCCCTAGAGCTCTGGAGATCAATACAGGTGTCCCTCTGGGGGTCACTCCTTGGACCAACCTTCTTTTTGATCTACATAAATGATCTGCCTAAGAATATACTCAGATCATTTGTAAACATCTATGCTGATGATAAGACTATATACAGATGCACCTCTAAAACTCTTAATGGTCAGAGATTTGTGACTCCAGTAAGTACCTAATCCCTTCTGCTATCCACTGCCATTACAAGAGACAGATCATGCCAAAAATGGAGTATTGTTGTCATATTTGGACAGGAGCTGCCAAGACCTCACTCCCCAGCCTTGATAGAGTTTAAAAGTGCCTTCAAGACCACGTGGGTGACAAACTATTCTCCACCCTTCAACCTCTCTCCCACAAGTGGGATGTGGCAAGCCTCTCACTGCTCTACCCCTTCTTCCACAGAAAGTGCTTGGACAAACTACATTCCCTAGTCCTTACACAGTAACAAACTACTCATATTCTCTCTGTATCCCATTGGTGAGAAGTAATTTCAACTTGTACAGCTGCTTTCTGCAAACAACTGCCATGTGGAACCAACTCATAATAGGATGTTTCCCCAACCACAACAATCTTAACCTGTTCAAGGCTAGGATTATCAGTTATCTTCTACTCCTATATACGCAAATGGCCTACTTATAAAACCCTTTACTTCAAGTGGCCACTGGGCCTTGTAAAGGGTGAACCTTGACATAAAATATATATATATATATATATATATTATAAAGGAGCAAAAACACTTTATGTAACTGCACACAACCTTGGTTTCAACCGTCAGATCTCTTCAGGTATCAAGCAATAAGTGTTTGTTATATATATATATATATATATATTACAAAGGCTAGTAGATGTAATAAAAACAGTTTAAAAATCAGATGTCCACTAAAAATAACATTTGAAGTATAAAAAAATGTTAGATTAAAAACATATGCATTATATATATATATATATATATATATATATATATATATAACAAATAATCCTGGACATATTCTTGATGATAATTAATGTAGAAAATTTAACATTAAAACTATATTGATTTTTTTTTCTGATAAGTCATACTTAGTTCTAGATTTTAAAAAAGTAAAAGAGAGAGATTGACTTCAACACTGAATGATCCAGCAATGGTTAAAATGTTAAATCGACTAACCTATATATATATATATATATATATATATATATATATATATATATATGTGTATGTATGTATGTATGTATGTATGAACTGCAGACTACTGTAATGGTAGCCAACACAGAAAATGGAATCAGCAGCCTTAATTCACATTTATCTCAAGCTGCTTGTGTTTACTTCATAGAAATGTGGGTAATGTTTTCATTAATGCATAATTATAAGCTCGCAAATATTTCTGAAACTGATTAATGAGATCAAAATTGACTGATCAAAATTTAAGAATTCTCTTTTGCTCTGCATATCTAATTTAACTTCAAACATTAAATGTTTGCTGAAATGAAAAACAGACTCAAAACAATCAAAGAATGATGTTTCTTTCTTCTTTCAAGTGCTGGTGTTGGGAGATCTGGTTCATACATAGTTTTGGATATTATTCTAGAAGAAATGAAATATAACTCGAAGATAGATGTAATAGGATGCATCTTAAAACTTCGAAATGACCGAACACTGATGGTTCAGAATCGAGTAAGTATGAAACTTAACTTATGTTTTATCAGCTGTGACTGTCAAAGACCATGTTACTCCTTGGCTTAAATTATGCTTTTTTTTTTTAAATAAATTTGTAAATGAATACTTTACCCACCTTTAACAGATGATATATTTGTTGCAAGAAATAAAGTCACAGGAAAAAAATTCACAATACTGGCCAAGGAAAAAAGTCACAATTAATTTAATAGCTGGTAATATAGTTATCTATATCTGTCAGGTACTTCACAAGTTTAGGGGTCCATTCTGTTTGCAATAAAAATTCATAGTAAATGATCCAACCTTTAAAAAACATTATCTAACAATGCTTCGGTCACATATTCGATATATTTCATTTTCCTTATTAAGAAGTCCTAAGATCCGACTTTATGTGAAGAAAAGCTTAGAATAAAAAGAGTGTCTTTTTAAGTTTACACACCAAAAACAATGTAAACAAACCAGAAATCATAAAAGAAATGTTTTCTAACAATGCTACAGTCACATATTCAATATATTTCAATATTTCATAGTATCACATAAAACCTGACTTTATGAAAAGAAACTCAATTCGACATTAAAATTTGAATTAAAAGTTCTTTGAATTTTCAATGAAATTGGAATTTTGTGGACTTTTGTCTACTGTATGCTAACAACCTTACTGTTTCTATTTTTCCTGTGATATTTTTACCTGGATTTGATATGTTGACTCTCTGAGTGTCATTTTACATAGAAAAACTTCATCATCTGTTGTGGTGTGATAAAATTTGAGGGGAAAATATTCACTAACTTACAAAAAAAGATCATGTAGAATCTTAGACCACTTTACATAAGTTGAGTAAATTGCAGGGAAAGTTTGTCCCAGCTTACCCATGTCAAAGGGTTTAGGTTAAAAAATTGGGTTGAGGTTAAAAAATTAGATTAGAGTGGACAAACTCTCTCCTTTAGGCATGGACAAATAAAGAAAATCTCCTGCTCGGTGTGTAATAATAAAAGAAGAAAGTGTTTATTTACATATACAGATAAAAGGGTAAAGGGATAAAGAGAATTAGGAGTGAAAGAAAGGGAAAAGAGAAAATATCCTTTAAGGGAAGAGAAAATGTTCATAAGAGAAAAAAGGCTTGCTCAAAATATTTCTCTGAGCGCCTAAAAAGTTCTTTAAGCAAATAGAATTTTGTTAAGGTTTAGAAACACTCACATTTCTTGTAGAGTAGGAAAATTATTTGGTAGATATAGGAATCTTGAGTGAGTTTGTAGGTCGACAACAGATGTCCAGTGGGCACAACAGAAGGAGTGGTGAAGGGATGCAGCTTTCAATTGGTTTTTAGTAGTGGGCTGACTGTCTGTCTCTCCAGCTCGGCAGGAGTTTCTTCTTTGGTTGAAAGTGGTTCTGAAGTTGACTGGATCTCCCTATCATCGACGTGACAGACAGTGGGCTGAATTCTCACCGCCAAATAGACAAAGACTCTCCAAATTTATGGAGATTTAGTAGGCTACGATGGATTGGGGACTTTTCCCTCCAAAATCATTATACAAATTTCCTAGCCCCTCTATTGGTCAGAAAACACATTCTTATCTCTTATAAGAATCAGAGCTCTGGGAGCCAGTTTTGAAAGTAATGAAAACAAGTTGGAGTGAACAAGCTGTGAGGTTTCCCCCAAATTTTATGGCACCATGGAAAGAATAATGGTGGTGGAATACCTTTTTATATTTTCCAGCTATCTCGTTAGTCAGAAAATATATTCTTATCTCTGATAAGAATCAAGGATTTGGGAGCTGGTTTTGAAAGTAAAAAGAGGTTGGAATTAGGATAGAAAAAATAGTGAGAAAGTGAATTTGTAAAATATTGTTCTCAAATTAAATTCCAGCAAAATTGCATGTAGGATTTTTTTAATCAAAACTTTATTATTTCAAAGAAAAGAAATATACTAGCTAGAGATTGTAAGTAATTCCTGTGACTTTCTTTAGCTTGAATAATGGCTTTTAGTTTTACTCCACCACAGAAGAGATGTGTAATTTTGTGAGTATACGATTCCAGTCTCTCCGGCTGTGCTCCCAAAATTATTTAACATTACGTGGATTCTATTTAGATAAATTTTTTATTTCTGTTCACATTTTTTCAATATTTATATCCAGGCTTTGTGCGGGCCACTTAAATTATGTTCACATTTTCATCACATGGTTTATGCCATGGAGACCAATCATTTTGGAAAAATTTGTCACTATTCAAGTTAGGAATCAAATGTTCCTTCAGCAATTCAATATATCAGGTAATGTGCTTTTTGGAGCCCCATGTTAAATATGTAATAAAAGTTTGCCAAATAGTTATATTTAGGTGTAAATCTACATGCTTAATTCGAAAATAACAAAGAAATTTTGATAAAATCTACTGTTTCAGAGTTATCGACAATAGAATTTCAGGCTCATTCGCATTATAGCACAGCAGCCATTGCTGGTGTTGTCTGCATACATTCACTACTGATTAGATTGCCAGATTATTTAAAAATAACAATAAAAGTCTGTGGAAGAAAACCACTTAGAAGTTATTAACAATGTAAGTTTGACCTCATTTGCATTGCGGCTACAGCCTAGCCGCCATTACTGGCTTTGTTTACATACGTTTGCCTCAAGTAGTATGGAAACTTCACTTATCTTGATTACTGCATAATGCGCAAACTTTAAAATGAATTTGTGAAAGTTTAAAAGTAACCCAACAGAAAAGGCCTCACTATTCCAGACATCAGTAAAAATGAAAAAAAGTTTTCAATTGTTTTTCTAAGTAATTTAAGCCAATTTAAAAAAGAATTCATTATTTATTAATCCTTCAATTTAAAAAACAAAAAAAAACTGTTTACTTAACAAATTTAATCAAAATTTAATTGGGAAAAGGAATTTATACCAATTTAAAAAACAGTTCATTTAAAGCTTCATTTTTACAAAAAAAAAAAAAAAATCAAGAATTAAGCAAAGTATGTGGATTTTAAATTAAGTTTCATGAAAATTCTGCAATGATCAAAATGAGTAAGTCGATAAGAAGATCAGTAAAAAGGCCTTTAGTTAATTAAGCTTCTGCTCATTAATACTTGAGGCAAACATATGTAAACAATGCCAGTAATGGTGGCTAGGCTGTAGACGTAATGGGAATAAGGCCAAACTAAGATTGTCGATAACTCCTAAATGATATTCAACCACAAACTTTTATTGTTATTTTCAAAATAATCAGGCAATTTCACATCATAATGGAAAGTTTTCATTACAACTGGATTTTGGGGATTATAATGCAAATTAACCCAAATTCTTTCTTTTTAGAGTGCAATTCAATTTTTGCTTCATCGCTAAATACTATTTTACTCCAATTAAATGTGTCCTACATTTTATGCGTCTTTGACCACTCTAATCTGGCCTTCAAATTTTTATTCAACACTGATTTTTAGCAGTTATACATCCTATCAACATATTTTCCTGAAAAACAGTGTCTACTGACACCAAATTGGATAGTTTTTACATTCATTCATCCAATAATAATTGTCTTGCAGTCATTCTGGTTGTTTTTTCATGTTCTTTTCACTTTATAGGGTGTTCTTTGTTGTAGCTTTCAAAGCCAACCAGATCTTGATCTATAAGATACATCATTACTTTGTATAGTATTGTCCCATGTGATATGCCCTTTTTCTGGATAAAAGATTTCTTGAATCCTGGCTTTCTATTACATTGATTAATTTCTATTGTTTATACACAGTTTACACTACAGTGTTTGTATTGTTTTTATTGTAAGTTTTCCTGTTGAGTAAAACTAAGGTGCCCTCAGGATTTTTGTACATTGCTCTGGCTCATTTTAAAGTGTTTTTTCTTTCAGTTTTTTAAATGTTTAGTCACTGTTGATGTTTTATTGTGTTGATTTTAAAGATAAGCAGTGTCTTACATATTTTTAATTTTATGTATCAAGGGTCCATTTCCTTGTTCATTTCCTCTTCAAATACTGCTCCTAAAGTTATATATATGTCGTATGTACCTTAATTTTGTGCACATTCTTAATCTTTGATTTGCATTATACCAACTATAACTGAGTGCCGGTCTCAATGAAAAGGCCCGTTTTTTTTCATATTGACGTCATGATTGTTATCCTTTTATTTAGGGAATACACAGTGAAAACTAGAAACAAATAAAGATATCTCTGAAAAAGGAGAAATGGACAAACAAAATACATTTCAAAGAAATACAGAAACAAGGAAAACACTTTTCAAACAGAAACAATAACAATTTAAAGCAAGCTCAAAGAAATGATAAAGGGATACATGGTGTCTTAGAGGAGAATTTAAAACTTAATAGTTAGAAACAAATAATTACCATATTGTCTCTTTAACAAGCAATAGCTAAATAACATGTGGTAACAGACTCACAGAAATTATAGCATAACACATGTGATAATGCAACACAGAACCAATCAACCCGATAAGAGATTCAGAGTTGGTTGCATGTGGTGCTGTAAGCACCAGTAGTTACATCCTCTTCTATAATGGGCTGTTGAGAGAAGACCTTCTACTTACAGTAGGTGGCACTAACTAATTGCATATGAACAATTTAACATTGGTAGGGGACTGGGAAAGCTATATAAAACTAGTTTTTCCTCTGTCAAGAGAGCACTGCGAACATGCAGAAAACCAGGCCATATTTTTTTTTATAAAACATTAAAAAATATTCTCATAATTTTAACTCAATTACTTTTGTTACCATGCTACTAAAGTAGCAATCTACCTAGACCTGGGAACATATATATTGGTAACTTCAGCAATCTTTACACCAGTGCCTTAATAGTACAAATGGAACAAAATAGCTGACAGAAAGGAATGAGAAATCTGCATTGTTCTCCAATTTTTTTACTGCTAATTCATACAAGAAATTATATACAAATATATTTTTGCTTTTTACTAATTTGTCCCACACAAAGAAATTATAATATATGAATACAACAATCAGTATGAAAAGGAAAGAAGTGAGAGGGTCTTACTTGTAATATTTCCTGAAGGGAAAATGGGCAGGTTGATAGTGTCATTTATTGTTGTAACTTGTACCCACCAAGAAACTTGATGTAGAGGGGGCAAGCAATGGAATTCAAGCAGTTATGTGGTGGTAGATCAAGATAAGTGACAAGGAATCTGTTTCTCTTTGTCAACCAGTTTTTATGTTTGCTGTTATAGTGGATCCTATCTGATTAAATGGACAAGACTACAATACATTTAAATGAGACTGTCTGGAAAGCTATAAAGGAAATCCATTTCACCTTCCAGATAGTTATTGTTATTTTTTGTTAAGACTGTTAGTTTGTTACTAAATTATACTGTTATGATACTATTACTATTACAAGGGCAGACATTGCTTGTAAGCAACAAGGCAATTCATTGCAATCTCAAACTATTATTACCCGGGGACGCTGTGAAGTGCTGCTACAACAGGCAAGAGTTCTATCTTTTTTCCTCCTTTTGCATCAAGTTTCAAGTACAATGCTTCTGAGTTGCCTGGCTATCTAGGTTTCACCCCCACCCCCAAATCCGTCAACATAAAAAATCTGACACAGTGTTTCTGGTGAGACCATGTCATTTACTCTGCTCTCTTAACTACCATGGTCAGTCATCTTGCTTCTCTGCTGTCTACATAGCAACTGCAGTTCATCACTCTACAAAATGACATCACTCACTGTACTCTCAAAATAACAGTTTCTGATGGATAAGGGAGAAGAGTCAAGTCTTGTTGGAAACTTATTCTTCATTTTTAATCCATACTAGTTGATGTACTAACTTACACAGAATAACCTCAGTACATGTACTGGAAATTTCTGTTGTTGCTTTCTGATTCTTAGCCTCAATATTTTTTTTATTCTCTTTGAAATTTTCTCATTTGTCATATGCTTTGTCTATGGAATTCTTGAAATTTCTTCACCTCTTCAAATGTTGTTTTTCATTTTTGATGAAATTCTCCAGCATTCACTGTCAAAGTGAGACATTACAGTTAAGCATTTTTTTCTTTACTAATATTATTTTTTTAACTCTTAGTATTGTTACAGAATGGAAAGAATTATTGTTTTATGACACCTGGTATTATTTTTCCTACAAACAGTATTTGGCAGACTCATGCCAAAAGTCATGGAGTTTGAACAAACAACAAGTAATAAATGTATCAGCAAAACATCCTGCAAAAAGGAGAAGAAATTAACCTCCTAGTTGAAATTATTGATAGCTCAACACCATCTCCAGTTGATGTCTCTGAAGTACTTACAGGTTGCACATTCTGTGGGAGAGAGAATAAGAGAAAAGCACATGTTGATGCTCCAAAACCAAAAGGAAGAAACTGGGTCTTTAAAAAATTGTACCATCTGTAATTATTGTCAGGAGTCATAATCCAACAATAACTTGCACATTTCCTGAAATGCATGTGTTGCTATTCCTATGCATCTTTGGATTTCTGTTTCAGGTATGGAAATTTAACTATCTGGGCAATGAAAACATTTCATTATCCATTATCAGATTAACCAGATATTTAAATTTCCATACCTACTTGATTTTTTAAATTATTCACACCTTGGACATTCCTTTTTGCTCACAACCAAGCATTCAATCGTATAATGAATGTTTATTCCTTTCTTCATGTTCTCATCAACTACCTTTTTCTAATAATTATTTCAGCTTTTCTGAATCTGCCATCAGAGATTAAATCAATTTTTAGAATTTCAAAATTCATTATTTTATAAATTATTCAGGCTAATATATCCTAATCATTGTTGTTTTGATAATGTGGCTAATGTGTTCACTGAATTTCCAAACAGATTCAAACAGAATGAAAACAACAAATATATAGATACTAGTCAGAATAATTTGTGGAATAATGAAAGTGATTAATTTCAGTCAATTGCAAAATAAAACTCATTACCTTAGTTTTCAAAAAGCTTTTAAACAGTATTGAATTCTATGTTAAATGTATAACTCTTACTCTTTATTTTCTATTGTAGAGTCAACTTGAATACATCTATGACGTTCTTATTGAGAGTATTATTACTGGTCCTACTATGATTTATATTCATAAACTCCCACAAGTCTATGATCAACTCCTGAATTTTCAAGATGAAAACAGTACAACTTTGATGAAACTGCAGTTTGAGGTCTGCATTTATTTATTGTTTATAATGAAATTTCTCTAAAGGAATATCATCATAAAAATACTAAGATGGTGAACATTTTGTAGCTTTTGTTAGTAATATAATCTGAAATGGTAAATTGATTGATTTGTTAATATTCTTGTATTATTTTTTAACTATCATTCTCATCTTGGTTAATATAGATATTATTATAGACACATTTCAAGTAAGTACCCTCTGGTCATCATCAGGTGTTCAATTGTTTGGCTGATATGGGATATCTGTTGATTATTGTGATATTTTGTCCCTGTGATACCAATTATTGTTCATTCCTGCTAAATTGGTGCATCACTAACAGATCCAAGGATTGAACTCATGACCAGTAGATGACAAAAACACAACTCCTAATCCACTATAGTGGATATAACTGATATCATAATAATCAACAGATATTAACAATCAATGGACACCTGATGGTGATGAAAGGGTACTTGGTTGAAATGTTGTCTATAATAGCATATAAATAACTTACAAAGAGTTAATAAGCTATAAAAAACAAATCAATCATTTAGTATTTCATTTCTAAGATGAAATACTAAATGATTGATTTGTTTCTTATAGTTTATTAACTCTTTGTGGGTTATTTAAAGCTGAAACATATTTCGGCAGTCCCCTATCTAAGTAATGACCAAGCATTTTGTGATTGAATGAGAACTGGTGTTTTCATCATGCTGAAATGGAAGAAGTATAAAATTATGAAAGTCATGTGCCAAGAATATATTTTATTGAAGTTTTTGAAGTTTATTTTTATGTATGTATTTTCAATGAAATAAGAAATGATAAGATTAATTAGTTTAATTTTAAAATGTTTGGTACAAAAGGTACAATTATTCTGTAGCACTCAGTATGAAGCAAGCTTACCTGTAAAAATAACAAGTTAGCCACAATATCAAGAACACCCAGATCATAACTACTAGAAAAGATTTTTTTTCATTTGATAGTACAGAGTCCAAGCAAAAAATTAATAAGTTTCTGTTTGTCTATTTATTTCAGTCTTATCCCTGTTTTCAAAAGAAAGCTTTATTATAATTCCTTAAGTTTTCTAATCAATGGATAATATTTTTTCATATTTAAAAATCTCCTAGTTTAGCAAGTATATATAAACACTTTAAAATATAAATTTAATTTAAATCTATTTCTAATATAGAACTAATGTAAAAATGTGCAATACGTTTTTTTTGTTCTGAGTATAACTTGATTCTGACTGAAGAAAATTTGTATTTATATATGTGTATACATATGATATACACCTCAGACTAATAGTAGGTAACTAAATGATAAAATCAAAAAAATTCTATGCTATGCATTATGTCCTTCAAAAGAATTTCTTCTTCAGATGCCATTAAACTTCAGTATTTCTTGATGTAGAGTTGTGTTTATTGTGTTTCACAATTCTAGTGGTGCTTACTTGGACTAATAAAGTTGCATTTGAAGTGAATCATCTAGTTCGCACTCCTCCCTGTTTTTTTGGACAGGAATAGAGGTTTATCCCTTGGTCCCTGTTTAGGATTGGGTTTCCAGTTCTTTCTAAAGTCTACTTCAACTCTATATTTCTAACACCTCTGCCTGAACTTTGAGATTTTATTCACTAATTAAATCTTGACCTCTGCAAGTTTAGAGTTGGCTGTTATCTTGACTGCATAGCCACATGAACTTCACATCTTGTTCTTTCTTATGGTAATACAACACCATACAGTAACCCTCTACCTTAAGTGGTTCTCAGGCCTTGTATTGGGTGAACATTAGTAAAAAAAATTATCTTTTAAATGTCATTTATTTTGTTCCAACTTTTGATTGATCTGATTTCTGTGGTTTATCAGCAGGTTATTTAAAGTTATAAAATATTTTTATATTGCTAGAATTTTTTTTTTTTTTTTTGAGATAATGATTTAGTGATACATGTCTTATTAATTAACCCGTAACTGAGGAGAGAAGAGGTGAATACCTTTCTCAAGATATTTGTGAATAAGGGAATATAATGAACCCAACTGGAATTGGAACTCTGCTTTTCAATTAACAATTCCAAGTCATTATCTATTACACCACCTACACAGCCAAGCTTACAGTGCCTGGTATTCCCGGCAGCCACCCATTACATACTGACCTGCTTCGACATTGCTTAACTTTTGTGATCATATGAGAACTGATGTTTCAACATGATGTAGCCATAAGCCTTATGCTCCGACTTTATATATGTAAGAAGACATTTAGAAAAGTAGTAATATTTATCCCATAATACATTAATATCCCTTATTCTTTCTGTACTTGCTTTTTATTAACTTTTTTCTTTTCTTTTTTAGATTTACCATAATTTCCAAGCCAATAATAAAGTGTTTTCATGATCCTCTAACTCCTTAAGTTTCAGGGCTGACAAAAATAAATAACCATACAGATTGCTTGTTTCATCAAGATAGTCCACGTTGGTTTTAATCTTGGTTGGAATGACTGCAAAACACTTTCCCTTCCCAATTTATAGACAAACTATACAGATACATACTCGGATATCTTAGCCAATAAGATAGGCCACTTCTTGGTCTCATCAGATTAAGTTCTGTTTTTTCTTGTCTTGAAGCCAGAATGCTGCTTGTTTGTATCCCCCTTTTGTGTGTTGATACCATTCTTAGTTTGTGAACTTATTGCCATATTACTGTTGCTTTGCCTTATCACTGTTATTTTGCCTTGCCTATATTATTTACTTGCTTAGTATTATTTTTTTCCTGTTTTTTCTTTTCTTTCTCTTGTTATTATTTTATTGCAAACTTTGTCAATTCTGTTTGTGGGGCATTTCTGCCACTTACTCACAGCATTAAAATGTTATCAAGAAAAGAAAATTCACATCTTCAAAGGCCAATCAACCTTTTTTAAAGTTCTGGGGGCTATTATTTACCATTTTAAAATTCTAGAAAAGTTAAAAATTAAAACCAGAACATAATTTATTTGCCCTGTTATGACTTTATAATTCATGGATTCAAGATTTATCACGAGATTTTAATCTACTTTTAGTTTCAAGTATTTTATTTATATTGAAGTTGTATCATCTGGTAATATTTCATGATATACCTCAGTTTTTCAAGACATTTAAAAACAATAATTTTGGTAATATTAAATGATTCTATTTTTCCATGATGATTTCCTATATACTTTGATGACTTAATGAGATGTTTTGATTTTTGCAGAAATTGGTATTGCCCTTAAACACTACCATAAATGACTGTCCAAATAACAATGATACCTCTGTGTGCTATGACAATGAGCAAAACATAAGTGGTAAGTTTTATAGATTTTACATTATTGGTTCATTGAATTACTACACGTCTATCAAGAACATTATCTTAGATCAAACATGATAATTGATTTGACAACAGTATTGAGTAATCGATTTACCATAAACCTATCAAGAAAATTTTCTTGTATTGAACATTCTCAATTTCATTTTTTCTTGGCATAATGTTTCAGATAAATGTTTGAGAAAAGCACTATTTTATTTTACATTTTCTAGTAAATTCCAACCATGTAGTTAATAATTTTTTTTTTACGAGTTATTAATTTTTACTAGTATTTCTTTTATTAGTTCAACAGTTTTATTGCAGCTTCCAGATCATTTTAAGTTTGAATTAGGTTACAAAACATAAGAGAAGTGTATACTAACAAGAAATACACAAAAAGAAGTGTATGTTAACAAGAAATACACAAAAGACACTTCTAAATTGTCTTAACAAAAAAATTACAGAATGATAATTTGGGAGTTGTGATAAAAAGCAGCTAGAATAAATAAATACCTGTGAAATATTCCTAATTGATAATGTTTCATCTAAAAAATTTGAAATATATTACTCAGGTATGCAAACAAAGATGGTAGTGTATTAGGCATTCAAGAAAAATAAAGATAGGCTATATCACTTGATTTAAATTTATTCTGATCAGTTCATCATTGTAGCATAATTGATTGATTGATTTGTTTTCTTATCAACCCTTTTCAGTTTATTTAAAACCAGAAAATATTTTTGGATTGTAAGAATTTTTTCTTGTTTTGAGATAACTGTTTAGTGATATAAGTCTTACTAATTAACCCATAGCTAGTGAGAGAAGAGGTAGATTCATACTTTTCTCAAGAGTATATGCATGTAAGTAAATATAACAAACCCAACAGGAACTGAAACTCGGTTTTCTGAGTAACAATTTCAAGTCATTATCCATTACCCACCTGCACATCCAAGCTTAAAGTACCTGGTATTTCTCAGTTGTCACTCATCAAGATATTGACTTGGCTCAATGTTGCTTAACTTCAGTGATCATCCAAAAACCAATGTTTCAACAAGATGTGACCATAAGCCCATAATCAAAGAAGAAGGCTTGTAAAGATAAGAGATGTAAATTTGAATCTTATTAAAGGCTTATTCTTTCCACTGTCATTCTATGCTTGTTAGAAAATAGTACAATTTGGTAGTTGCAAAAATAGCCACAATAAAAAGAGAGTTCTAGGAAATACAAGGAGCAGGTATGAATAAGCATTCCAAGCCAAGGTTGAAAATGAAAGACTTGGTTCCCGTAAGTTATAGAAAATCTCAAATGAATTTCTCAATAGTCAAAATATCAGTGCTTACTATCATAAATGGCTCTGAGATTATCTCCTCCTCATCAGATAAGACTAAGCTCTTTGCAGTGAACTTTGCCTCTAACTCCATGTTAGATGACAGGGACCGATCACTACATGACTCCCCATCTTATCACAGAGCATAAACTTTGTAATATCTCTATCATAGCCTGGAAAGTTTCCAGACTTATCAAAAGTCTTGATCCTAAGAAGGTTACCAGTCCGGATAAAACCCTGACAGTTCTTAAGAACATTAGCCCAGTGTTATCTCCAATCTTGGCAAAATCTTTTAACTGGTTAATAAAGGAGAAACCTTTCCCAAGTCTATGGGAGGTGTCTGCTGTATTCCCTGTTTAAAAGAATGTGGGTGAGCAATCATTACCATCAAAATATCAGCCCATCAGCTTCTTTAATCTCATCAGCAACTCTTTCATGCAATCATAACAAGAAAGTTATTGATCACCTCAACAGGAACAACCTCTTGAGTGACAAACAGCATGGATTTTACTCTAATAAGTGAACAGCTGATATCCTAACTATAATTATGCAGAGAATCAGTGAGACACTAGATAATGAATACATCAGGAAAATCACTTTAGATATCACAAACATTTGATATGGTATAACATAGGGGTTTGCTTCCCAAACTCTCCAGCTATGGAATCTCTGGAAGAGTTTTTTCAATTATCAAGTCATTCCTAACTGGTAGGTCCCTAAAGGTCATTTTAATGGCCAGTCTTCTGAAGCCTATAAGATCTTTGCAGGTTTCCCTCAAAGCTCTCTCCCCAGTTCTACATGCTTCTAATTTTATATTAATAATCTGCCTAAGAATATATTCCAATCTTTAGCAAATATCTATGCAGATGATACAACAGTATATGGGTGCACCTCCAAAAATCTATATGACTAGAGCATAGCAGCCAATCCCTTTTCTGACATAGCTCAGACAGTACAATGGTGGAATAACTGGCTTGTAACATTCAATAACACCAAATTCAAACTAGAACTGTTCCATCATCATGGAACCAACCCTGAATTTTCACCTATTGCAATGAACATGTGTTCATTCAATGAGGAGCCTCATTTCGCATGCCCATTTAGACTCAATTTCACCTCAGACCTCAAGTTGAATTGATAAATAAAATCCATCACTGAAGATGTTGGAAAAATGGTCAATTCCTTGTACCTTTCCAGTAGGTACCTAACTCCTCCTGCTGTACTTTACTTTTGCAAGAGCCAGATCAGAACAAAAATGGAGTACTGTTGCCTTATCTAGGCTGAAGCTGCCCAGCCCTCACTTTCCAGTCTTGATACAGAAAGTGTCTATGCAGCTTTGTGGGTTATAATTGTTTCCCACCCTAGTGTAACAATGCCACTCATTGCTCTAGAACATGATGTGTGATGTGGTCCCTTTCTCACAGAGGGGTCAACTTTAAAAGCTTTTCACAGAATAACATCTGTAGTTTGATGACTGGATGACCAGTTAGCCCACATGGTAGTAATTTCTAGTGTTGCTAAAAATGCCTTATTTTCTTATTTTCTTAAATTAAGTTTTATTTTTATTTTTAAAAGAACCTAATATAAATTTGCACTGAAATTTTACACATGCCTCCCCCCATTATATTACACTACTACTCCTTTCCCACAGATGAAATGTCACAAGTCTCTCACTACTCTATTGGTATTTTCTTGGCAAATGTTCTGATAGACTACATTCCTTAATTCCACCAGTTCTAACCTTCACAGCTAAAACCCACCATACCATATACACTGGAACAAACCATCCTCCATACCCTTGATATTTGATTAGTAAGAAAGACATTCCATTTGGATAGATTCTTACCAAGTGGTAAGCAGAGGAAGTAACACATACAGATACCCAAAAGAATGCTTTCCTGACTACCACAATCTTAACCTAGTCTAGGGTTAACTGTATCATTCCTCACATATCCTCAGAAACTGCATGTTGTACCTCTTATGATTACAACTTATACAACAACCTTGTTCAGCAACCTTGTTCAGCAACTTTCTACCATGAGTGGCTCTTGGGCCTTGTAGTGCATGAACATTAGTAAAAAAAAAAAATGTCACTCTGAATATCATGCTATTTTTTTTTAGACCAGGATATTTTTTGGTGCTATCATGCTGTTTCACTTTTCTCCATATTTTAAAAGAATGTCTATGCAGTTTCACTTCATTAATTTGGTTTCCGATTTTTCAGTGATTTTAGTTTCTTTGACCGTTAACTATTTTTAAAATTTTTTTTTGTTAGTTAATTAGTATTCACCCTTTCATTTCCTTATTTGAAAAGTTGGTATAAAATAATCTTCCTTTGCTCACTATTTGATTTTGTGTTAGCTTCAGTGAGTAACCATCAATGAAACAAAGATAATTTGGTATTTAGAAACTTACTAATATATATGTATGGTTCCTAAAAAAGTAAGTTTTTAGTATTCAAATCAGAGTTCAGTAGAAATTTTGACTAACAAACTCTTACCTGCTAATTACAATTCTTAGAAAATTCTAGATTCAACAGGTTTATTGTGAAAAAAAGGTTTAAAAGCAATTTTCTATAATGTGCTCCACTTAAATGAATGTCTTTATGTATCACTTAAATACTTGCATATAAAGCCATGTACAATTGTCTCTTAAAAATCCAAACATGTGCCTTACTGTCTATCCACCCAAAGGGTCAATACCATTGTATCTTAAGAAAATTTGGAAGTGATATTATCAGTATTAGAAATCATAAGCAGTACATAGACTGTATAATAAGGTGAATATGGAGAAGATATTTATTTTTATTATACTGACACTTTAAATCATTTAAAATTTTCCACCTAAGATGAAACTTATTTTCATTAACAAATTATATTGTTTCAATGTTTTCTATTATTATTTCAGATGATGAAAATAATGATGTTCTCGATGACATGACTATACTGAGTGTAAGTAAAACTCAATTTTACTAGAAATGTTTCTAAAATATAGGATTAATATAAATAAAATTTGTCACTTAGCTGATTGATTTTATATTCAGCCCCACAGCTTCGGAGTCTCATAAACAAACCTTTTTGTAATCATTCAGTCCACTCTTCAGGTGGTTTCAGCAACTGATTGCTGTTTTTCTCATTTTTCATTATCTTTATGCTAAGTCTCTGTACCACTCCACTAAGTACCAGTCTTCTCCTGCTATATTCTACTTCTTCAAGAGCCAGAACAGATGATATACTGCTGCCATATATGGGCAGTCTTCACTTTCCATTTTGTTCTTTAGGACTTTTTTGGACTAATGTCATGTTTATATTGATGCAACTACAACACGTGCACATGAAGAAAAGAGAACACTGAGAATTTTACATTTAATTTTTTTTTTAATAATTTTTTAAGTATATAGTCCAGCTGATTTCATTTAGTTTCTTTTTCTTTTTGTTCATGTTTTCATCACTTTTATTAAATATCTTACATTGTCATAATAAAAGATCTGCCAAGAAAGTTGAAATGTTGTAAGAACCTGGACATAAAATTACTGTATCTAGTGATTAAAGCACATTTTATATGTATTCAGTTTAGTAAATTGCTTTCTCTTTTAATTAGATTAGTACTTTTTAAATCAAAATTATGGTCACTCATTATGGTGATCAACTAATGCATTTAGTGTATTGTTTTATAAAAGATCCCTTTTGCATTCATATAATCTTTTATTTAAATTCCTTAAGGTTTCTCCAATGTATTTATTGTGGTAATTATTACTGGTGATAGTAAATTCCTCCTTCAAGTTTTAGTTTATTGTTTTGTCTCGTATTAAGTCTTAGAAGTAGTTGTAACAAATTTTATATTAAGCTTTGATAAATTCTTTTCAGTTGTCATTATGATATAGTTGGTGGGTAGAATAATATATTTTGATTTGTTGGGTTTGTCTGAAAGGTCTGCTTTTCTATTTTGAAATATTTTACAAGCCTTTTGTTTTTCACTGAATATGAAATAATTAGGATATTGGAAGAGCTTAAAAGTATTTTCAATGTATTTCTCCTCTTCATGTAAATTTTAGGGCTACAAATTCTGAATGCTCTTAAATAGAATGATTATTCCTGAGAATAAAAATTTATGAGATCATTTTTATTTGCTGATTTGCAATACTTAGTTTTAGGCTTTTTTTACTGAGTCATAACAAGATATCAAGGAATGGTGTTTGTTTCAATTTCATGTTAATTCTATCATATGTTCAACTTTGTTTAGATTATCTACAAGGTTAGGTAAATTTGTTTTGTGAAGATATATTAATGACTAGCTTAAAAGCTGCCCTATCAGGCAGAATTTAAGCTAGCTCCTTTAGAGGGCTCTTGATTGGGCCTTCAGATTGTTCAGGAGTTTGAGAGTCCCTAAGTCTTTGCATATTCTCTTGGCTGCTGTTTAATCTGGGTTTTCATTTGCACAGGACTTTTTTTTCGCTCACTGCAGCCTTAGCTCTTTTGATTGCAATCTGGTCCTCTATTGGTGAAAATTTCTTTTTGTGGGGCATACTGCTGTCGTATGCGATAGGCAACAATAAACTACAGAAGAACTTAAAATTGATCACTGTCCTTAAGTATTTCATTAATCATTAAGCTTACCTTTTAAAAGTTCAACAATAATTCTTCTGCTGCCATTTTAATTTAAAGACAATTTGATGTCCTTACTTTCCATACAAACATTTACTTTAATTTCATGGGTGACTTTCACTGGATTTCACAATTAATTTTGATTATTCCCAAACTTATTTCAAAGTTATAAAAACTGTTATCATAAAAAAAAAACATTGTCACAAAAAATCATGTAAAAAATCACTGAAAACAATCACAGTAATGAAAACTTTGGAAACCAAAATTTCAGTATTACAGTTCTAGGTCCAGCCCAGAATGTTTTGAATTTACTCATGAAGTCAGCCTGATTCCAAAAATGGTATATGTTGGGCTACAGCTTCTAGGAGTAAGAGTAAGGTTGAAAAAGTGTGGCACACTGACATTTGCACATATATAGTACAAGTAATAGATCCATTGGTATATAATCCAGGCGGATCCTAGTAATAACAGATATTAAAACTGATCCACAGAAAGAGCTCAATGTATTTATTATAACAAAGCATATATTATACAGCAAAAACTTCAAAATTACCACATGTGTGTATAGTCTATTTCAGGCCTAAACTGACTGTCTTGGAATCAGGGATTTTGAATTTAACTTTGATAGCAATCGAAGAGACCTCCTTTAGACAAGGAGCCTTGTTTGGTGACACGGTGAGGGCGTGATGTATCTCTCTAAAGAGAGATGGGTCGGGATGGGAGTTTATTTATGACCAAAACCTTTAGCTGTATGTAAATGAATTTAGGATCCTGCTAGGGGATACCAAACTATAACAACAGCATATATATATATATATATATATATATATATATATATATATATATATTAGTAGGATTGACAACAAATTGTATTTAGACAATAAGGGTTTTATATTATTAAGTGATGGGTGATTTAAAGACAAAACAATTTAAAGTTAGAATAAATTATCTAAATAATAAATTCTCAAAATCTGTAATACCAAAAAAATCAATGGAATAAATCATGCTGTACAACACATATATACCCACATACATATATGTACCTATATACACATACATACATACATATATATATATATATATATATATATATATATATACCATCCATTTACACCATTTAGGATCAGTTAAATTATTAGGAATACCAAGTCGTACCCAAAATACTTTAAAAAGAAGATATTAAAGTAAAAATTTAATCAAAGGGGGTTGCATCAGTTGGGGAACTATCATTTTTTGGGAGTTAGTAAGTAATAAGGTAAGATCCATATTCTTATATAAGTTTGAACCTGCTTCTATATCTACATTTTAACACTAGATCTTTCCTTTCATTTAATAGTTTGCATTGATTATTGTATTTTATTATTCTATTTTTTTCCCCTAAACATAGCCTGCACCTATCTCAAAAACTATTAGGAGTATGTGTGAAAACTATAGTTTTCCAATGTCTGTGGGTTCAGACCTTTTTCCTTCAATTCCCAAAATTTTTTTGAAAGGGCTGTTTGGTATTTTAATTTAGGATTGATAAATAAGTGCCTATGGGTATAAATTCTCTGTTTCAATTCTCCCACAGAAATTCCAATGTAAACATTATAATTTGTCATATTTTCTTTAGGGGTAATGGTTGCCTGGTATATTACCCTTGTAGATCTGCATTTGCTCTCAACTGGGCAGTTTTCAGAGCAATTATACATACATACATTATATATATATATATATATATATATATATATATATATATATATATATAAAAATACTGAGGTTGAATAAAACTGACAAATTTTATTTTTTCGTTGGTTGAAATAAGATTATTCTCCATAAGAGGTGATTTTCGATTTTATTGTGTATCAATTTCTGTTCTGTAATAATAAATACATTGAGCTCTTTTTTGTGGATCAGTTTTAAGATTTTATATTACTAGGATCCACTTGGATTATATACCAACAGATTTATTACCTTTACTATATATATATATATATATATATATATATATATATATATATATATATATATATATATAATGTTACATGACAAATTTTGGATATTATAAGTGTACAATGATTAAGTTTAAAAAGGAAAATTAAAAATTGCTGAAATAGTAATATCTAAGAACAGAAGCTGATGAAATAATTAAAAAATTTTGTTACTAACTTTCATTATATGCTGATACCCTTGAAAGACATGCTTGACAATTTTTCTCTAGTTTGTTACTTACTATCATTAACTTCAGTGTTTACATTTCTTTCAATAATCTTTCTACAACTTTTTAAAATATCTGCCAGTAATGTTGATGAAAATATTTAAAGAACTTATTTTATATTTCTACATAGTTTGTGTTAATTTATCTTTATCTAATACTAATTCATAAATTTTTCATTTGGTGTAAAAGTTTCATTCATTTGCTAATTTCTCTTTCTGGAAATTGTAAGTGCTGTCTTTGATTTTTTTCATAACATTACAATCTCAATATTTCTTCCTCACAAAGATCCAGTTATCTTCTCTTTATGCAATTATACTTTTTTAATTTTATCAATATTATTATTTTTACTAGTTTACTTGTGATGCCAAAAATGATTCAAGTAATTTTGTAACAACATCGTTATATAAAATATGATAAATGTTATGTTCCTCTGCATAATTTTATGTCCAATTATTCCTAAAAGTCAAACTAAACAAATATAATTCTGTTGACAAATGAATAATTGTCTTATTTATCAAGTTTAATATCATATGAAATTGTATTTCTACTATATTGCCAGAAGAATCCATGACAGGAGAGTCAGATACATCAAGATAGATGCACATTTAGTTCAGCCTCTAACTTAAATGTTGATATTTCTTAAAAAGGTGCAAAGCCAAATAATCTTGACATCATAGATAATAACTAAATCTTTCTACCATCAATTATTTCCAATGATTAATCCTTATTCCTAACAATCTTATTTTTCAGGGAAACAACTTGGAGGAAGAATTTATTCTGCTAAATACACCCTCTGAAGAAAAGTTAGCAGATTTTTGGAGTGCAATCTTTTTGAAAAGATGCACTATTTTAGTTATGTTCAACAATTTGCCCAGTGTAAGTGTAAATTCATGTGAGAATCCTATCTTATAAATTCAGTAATCTTATTAAAATCATTTAGAATCATTCATTTTCAACTATATTAAAACCATCATTCACCTTTCATCAATCTCTCATATTAAAACTTTATTGTAAAAGAGAAAGTGTAATAGTAGGCTAAGTTTAATAAATGAAATAAAATAAAAATATTTCTTAAATCCCCTGAAAAGTATCACCTATTTAGCATCGCTTTAACATCTCATTAACATTAACACCAGCATTCTTAATAAATCAGTTAACCAGATACTTGAATAAGAAGAACAAAAGATAAAAAAACCTGTACTAAAACAAAGGACAATTCTACAAGAATTCACAACTCAACTAACCACCAATAAACTAATCAGGATGACTGTCTACTACAAAGAAGGAGGAGCCTCACTCTCTCCTTCTCGCTCTCTGTTCCAATGTACCATGAGCTATGAATTCTATCTCACAAAAAGTATACAAGATTGTATTTGTTTACAAAAATTGAATCTTCCAAAACAATGTTCACTAAGAAATCATTCTGTGCCAAAAGAAAAAGCAATTTTATAAAAATATTTCATTTTCATAAGTATGATTTAATTTTAAACAGAAATCATCTAAAAGTTTATAAAAACACAGTTACACTTATCTAAAGTAAATTTATTTTTACTATCAAGGGACCTCAAATCTGTGCCTGTATTGAAAAATATATTGGCGACTCCAAAAGCTAAAAAATACTAACAGCTTTTATGGCTGCATAACCATTTATTTATGATTTTTCATTCCACTTTCTCAGTTTTCTTAAGTGTTTTTATTTTTTTATCTCGTAATACCAAGGGCTGTTTTGACTTTAAGAAACTCAACTAAAGAGACTGACCATAATCAGGATCAGAGAGTCAATGTAAAATTTATGATCTTTTCCTTAGTTGTATAGTATGTGTTTTACCAGGGCTACTTCTCCTAAAGTGGTTGCCAACCAAGACTACAAAGCCCAGACTGCCTTACTATTTAACCCATAGTTAGGGGAGGACAAAGAAATGTATTCATACCTTTCCCAAGAGTATTTGTGCATAAGCAATTGTAACAAACTCGACTGGAATTCAAAATTGGTTCTCTGATTTCTCATTCAGAGCCACTATCCATTACACCACCACACCCAACTTTCTGTGCGTTCCTCATGACAGACCCAGCCATGTTGATAAAGAATTTACCCACATTCATTTCACTATCCATTACGCTACCACACCCAACTAACAAAAAGTAAAAAGTAAATAAATGAAATAAAAAATGCAGTAAGAATCAAAATACATCTCATAATCTTTATCTTAGGTATAAAAATATTGAAAAAATGTATGTATGTGTGTGTATGAAACAGAGAAAAAACAGATAACAAACTGTGGTATAATAATAGCAACCTCTACTCTCTATTCATTTTTATGCTGTTCATGCACCTTAAAGTAAAAAAGAAAATATTAAAGAACCACTGTCAACTTAAAATTTAAAGAATTTAAATTCTAGTACCATGGAAATGGTTTGCCAAAGTGTTTACATCTGTCCTTTAGAAAAGGATTGTTATTCCTTACTATTACCAGGTATGTAGAGATAAACATTTTCTTTATTTTAACATGCTTAAAAGCTACCAGAGGAAGTCTTTAAGCTTGATACCAAATCAGTTCCTATTATAGAATTTGTGATTATCTGAAAATAAATAAGAATTACCTTGTGATTAATTGAACTCCAATAACATTTAAATTTAAAGTTAGCATTATTTAATCCTTAATCATCTGGAATCTAGTGTTAAAGGAATTTTGAACATTATGTACTTACTTTTTTAAAAAAGTGTTTGTCTTTTTATCATAAAGTGTAGAAATATTCATAGTAGAAAAGAAAAATAATGACAAGAGTAATAAACATTGTATAAAATATAATTAAGCATCAAATGATGATACATTTATTTTCATGTTAGCTATACTTGTACTCCTACTAAACTATAATCAGCAAAAGTCTATTGTTAAATGATTTTCAAATGATGTTCATAATTGGAAAGAGAAAAAAAGGAAGACATTAATAATGAAATAAACATTTAGAATCATCTTCCTAATTAACTTGCTATTATTACTTGAATTCTACTTGTTTTTAATACTGGATCTGTACATTATTACATTATTGTAAATGTTTTAAGAAAGGGTTTTTCTTCTTGTATAGCTTAATTTGAACATTAACTTTTCTTTTTTTTTTATAGGAAGAAGCAATATACTGGCCTAAAGATACAAATGTAGTTGCTGAATACAAACATTTTGCTGTGAAATTGGTTGAAGAAGATGACAATAAGAGTTATATTAAAAGGACAATGAAAGTCTCATCATCTGTATTGGTAAGAAACAGATTCTTTCTGCCTTATTTCAAATAATCTTTTTTTGTCATATTTTATTAGGTTGCATCAAAAGTATTTTCACTTTTGAATCAACTTTTTATTTTTGTAAACTTAGCTAATGCTCTACATATATTACATTTTGATGATTCTAAAACCAGCACTGGAAAACTTTTAGAAAAGTTTTCCAGTGCTAGTTGTTGAGTTCTCAATTACTTTGCATTTTAAAGCATTATAATCAGTACCTGTTAGTCATCCAGATCTGGACTTCATTTCAAAGCATAAGTTACTACACTAAAATATTTAAATCAGTTTTGCACAGACAGATATTGTTTCATTACCTTCCACTTTCTGAATATGGTGTACAGCTTCAAAAGCTGGAAGGCAAATTTTAAAATGATGCATTAAAATTTCCAAAATCTCAATATTTTATATCTGTGTGTGTGTGTGTGTGTGTGTGTGTGTGTGTGTGTGTGTGTGTGTGTGTGTGTGTGTGTTATATTCCATGCTAATAGGAATATATAGTTGAAAAACATAGTGGATAAAATAAGTAAAGGTTTATTGTAAAAACCAATACAATAAGAATAAAGGTATAATTATGCACAAGGTTGTTGCAAGTCAATGCAGTAGTGAGTTCTACTATTGGAAGGTTGGTAGTTCTTGCATAAGTCTGAGTCGTACTCAACAGATCCCAGTTAGACTCTGTAGTCCATTGACTTACAGATACTTATAGGTAGTTACTAACGATAGTGTAGTCACTCATGGGGGTGACAGGTTATTCCATTACATCAATATATATATGAATAAAAACAAAATAAAAACTTATTTTAGCTGATGCACTTTGTCCTCTGATGGACATTATCAAGGCCAAAACCTTTGCTTGATAAAGGATAAGACATGTTTTTCTTTTGTCTTTATTCATATTATCCTTTTGCAGATATATTTTTAGTTATATCTGAATATATATGAATTTTTAGATGGAAAAAGTAAAATGTCTTACAAATAAACTTTTTAACTATTGTTATAAATTAAAAATTGTTTGAATAATTGAATTACAAGTAACACAGAAATCATTTATATTACAGTTCTCCTGGTAAAATGAGTAAACAAGAAAATACAAGCCAAATCAATCATGCATTTTTCTTTCTTAACACATTTCCTGCTGATTAAGCTATTTGAACCCTTACATAATACTATCTATGTTTTGTTAGAGATATCATTAGGAATTCAGACTAAGATGATTATTATAAACAAATTTCGATAAAACAAGAAAAGAAAACTGCATAAATTAAAATAATGGCTTCTACACAAATTTAAAACAATGCTGTTCTTTCATCCTAGCAGAAAATTATTAATGATTTAATATTGAAACACACACATATTTCTTTTGTTCTGATTTGAGAAAGCCTATATAAACATGACAAAACACATAATCAAGTCAATAAAACAAGTTTCCCATTTGTCATATATATATATATATATATATATATATATATATATATATATATATATATATATATATATATAACATATTTGTGTGTGTATGCATGTCTATATTGTCATTTGACAATATAGTATCTTTTCATAAAGAAAAAAAAAAAAAATAGATGACAAACTGTGGTAATAATAGCTACAGCTACTGTCTATTCATTTTCATGCTGTTCATGCATCTTAAAATAAATAAGAAAATATTAAGGAACCATGGTCTACTTAGCATTTAGAGAACTTAAAATTCTAGTACCTTGTAAATTCTAGTAAAATTCTGGAAATGGTTTGCCATAGTTCTTATATCTTATTTCTTATTATTACCAGATATGTAGGGACAAACATTTTCTTTATTTTAACTTGCTTAAAGGTTGCCAGGTGCAGTCTTGAAGCTTGATATCAAATCAGTTCCTATTTATAGAATTTGTAATTATCTGAAAAATAAGTAAGAACTTCTTTGTGATTAACAAAACTCTATATAAAAATTCTGCATAAGAGGCAATATGCAACAGGCTACAAGATGCATAGGTGTGTTGTGTGGCAGTACATATGTTAATCAAGTAGTGATTTCTACATATGCTTTGGTAAGTTACTTTCATTCTTTATGCCTAAATAGATGAGTACAGTCAACAACAAAATTATTCGTACACCCATCAGTTTTGAATATTTTTATCCATTTCTCAGAATCTAATACCTATATGATTCCAGCATTTTTTTAAGCACATTTTTTTTAAGTAATTTACATAATTATTTTATCAGTAAAGACTTCTAGACTATTTATTCAGTAAAATATTTGTGATAATTTCAGCAAAGAACATCACATGGTGCATAGAGTGTCACCATTGTTATTCTTATGTTAACAATACGATGGGGAAGACAAAGGAGCTTAGCGTTGACATGAGACATAGAATTATTAACTTCCCCAAGTTGGGAAATAGTTACAGCACTATTTAAAACCAGTTAGCTATCCCTAGACCTATGGTACAGTCCATTATAAAGAAGTTTAAATAGTTTGGCACAACAGAGAATTTTTGGGGATGTGGAGAGAAACCCAAATTGTCACCAAAAACTGCACAAAACCATGTCACCAGGGTAATATAAACACAAAAGCTGTTTTGAAAGACATTGGAAAAAGTTTGGATACAATGATTATCAGCATAAGTACTCACACAAACAACGTTGTTTAAATAGAAATGGGTTGTATGGAAACTGACCATGATTAACCCTTCTTCACAAACCATGTCACATTGTTGCTCAGTTTAATTTTGCCTAAACATTTTTGGACAAAGATAATTGCTTTTGAGAACAAGTACTACAGAGTGATGATACAAAAATTGAGCTTTTTGGACATAATGATGTACAGAAGATTTGGTGCAAGAAAGGTGATGATTTCCTCCCAAAACAACAGTGGCAACATTAAAACATGGAGGTTTGATGATGTTTTGTTTGTTTTAGCTCAAGGGGACTGGACAATTAATTGCAATAAGAGGAATAATGAAATCTGCAGACTATATCAAAATTCTGGATGAAAATCTACAACTATCAGCGCAAAATATTCATCTAAATCAGCGATTTACTTTCCAGCAAGATAATGATCCCAAACATACGTCGAAATCAGTGGCTGCATGGCTTCAGAAAAAGAAGATTACAGTTCTGCCATGGCCTACAATTAGTCCTGACTTGAATCCTATTGAATATCTATGGCAAGAATTGAAAATTCGAATAAATTGTTAGTCACCAAAAATCCTTCAGGAATTAGAACATGTAACCATTGACGAATCAAAGAATATCCCAGAAAAATTTTGTTCAAATCTTATCAAAAACTTTAGAAAACGATTGCAGCAAGTTATAAAGATGAGAGGCCATGCTACTGACTATTAATATTGTGAAAATTGTTCAATTTTTTTCTATTTTTCATACTGTACAGATAATTTTGTCATTTCCTATTTTGAATAAATCACCTGTCAGATTTGTTGTATTTAATCTATTGTTCTGAAAATTGAGTTTTATAATCCTTCATTGTTCTTATTAAGATATAAAAAAATTGACTTCATACAGGCATTAGATTCTGAGAAATGGATAAAAATATTCAAAATTGATGGGTGTACAAATCATTTTGTTGTTGACTGTATATCATAATCTTCATATACTGTAATATTAATGTATTATCATATTTTTTGTCTTTTCCAGAATATGCCAGAATTGTTAGTCCATCAGTTACAATTTAAATCTTGGCTGGGAAATAACTTCCCTTCTCCAAAAGAAATGGTGGAAATAATACAAACAGTACAGAGTTTGCAAATAAGTAAAAGCCATAAGCAGATTATTCTTCATTGTCTGTAAGTAAATACACTTACCAAAGAACATTTCATTAGAAATAATGGGAAATACAGAAGAGTTAATTTGCTATAAAGTATGATGAAATACTCAACTTTTATTCTTATATTTCTAAACTTTCCAGTGCTGTGATCAAGACACAAAATGCATCCTCATTGCACTTGTGTAGCATTAGCTGTAGGTTACTGTGCAATTTATACCCTACCTACACATTTCTACCCACACTTACACATATGGTGCCCCATATTAAAACAATCTTGTGTCACATACGTCATAGTGGTAAGGTGAATGACATTCTTTTATTCCTTTACACAGTTTTTCTACCATGTTGTCTTTTTTTCTCTTTCCATCTTTCATACATTAATTGATCAACTCCTGTCTACTTTTCAAGTTTTACAATCATAATTCATCACTATTCTCTCAAAGCGATCTTCATCTAATAGAAACTGGCAGATAATAGAGAAAATGAATAAACAGGTTTGCATAAAAGGCATCAAGAAGATTAAACTATTAATTCTTTCCAGAGATTTATGTTTGAATATATATCTGCTCAAGTTTCTTTCACAAATATAACCAAACTTATCTGAAGGACTAATATTTTACTATTTTTGTGATACTTCATATAAATAATTTGTGTATTGTATTTACATGCACACACATTGCATGCATGTGAATATCCTTGCAACATCTATTTACTCACTGATTTAACTGCTCTAGCAAGTTAATCAAAGAGAATAAGTTTAGTGTTGAAGAATCTTTTAGTCAGTAACATTTACTAAAATTGACATTGCAGGCAATATAGAAAGGGTCAATAATATCTAAGATAGAATAGCTTAAATAGTAATCAGATTAAGTACACTCTGAAAATAATCTACCAACATTAAAACGTCCTAACAAAGAAATTGAAAGGTTTATGAAATTTAAAAGGTTGCGTGTTAGTGTATATATGTACATGTTCACATGTAAACAAAGAAGAAGCTTACAAAAACGTGGGTTAATACTAGGGAACACTTATTCTCTTTATATAAACTGTAGTGAAACAAAATTGTCAATATGTCATGGGTGTGTCCATTTTCTGTTTGGTCCAGAAGTTATGGTAAGTAAGGATAAGCATCATTATAATGGTCACACTCAAGTCAGCCTTGTACAGAGTTGGATTGACCAAAAATAGTTTGTACTTACTTTATCATTGGAGGGCCAGCATGGTTATAATGGTCAAGCTCAAGTCAGCTTTGCACTGAGTTGGTGTTGTGGTAAAGAAAAGAAAAAAATTGTAAACTTGTAGTAGCAATAAACGCCTGCAATAGGTTTCTTCAGTCTCTCGACCAGAACACTTGTAGCCAAGTCACAGTTCAACAATAGTCCATCGTAACAGTCCAACAGTCAATGTAAAAATGACAAAATGGGGTCACAAATTCAACCTTCATTTCTCACCAGCAAAAATGTATGTTCATCTGCCAAGCTCAGAAAAATCCTGCAATTTGAGCTGGTATTCTTCCTTGATGCATTCAGGCACCGAGTACACTGACACTCGGTTCTGGAGCTTCTCTGTTCAGTTATTTTTCAACCATTTCTACAGTGCTGTCCATGTCTTCATCTTTTAGTCAAAGTCTGTGCTAAAGTCGGGCCTCAAAGCAGCACAGATGAAATGGTCAGATTGCACACAAAACACAAACTCTTTTTCAACGTAGGTGATTATCTCTTTCACTACAGTTGGGAATAATCAAAGAAAAGGTTGCTTTACTTCATAGGTGGAGGAGTTGGAAGACTCATGCAAACACTATATGCTGGAAAATAGAAAGAGTTCAGTCAATCTGGGAAAAGGGATGTTTCCAAGTGGGGCACAATTACAGTGTGATGTTATATCTTGAAGGAAGATGGAGAAAGAAAGAGATAAAAATTTCTGTCTTTATATGGACTTAAACAGAGACACCTAATGGGCATTTGACAAAGCCAAATGTGATAACATTTCTGGTTCCTTTATTACTAACATTATGGGAAAAGGTATTTTTTCTTTTTTTTATTATTCATTATTATTTCATTTATTTTATATTCCCACAGGTTTTATGGTAATATAAATAACATAGAAATAAAATAAATTACACCATTTTTGATGAATGACTTTAATGCAAATTAATGGCAAGAAATTAGGGAACAATTTAATTTACAAAAGTTTGAAATAGGGAAAAGAAATAAGAGAGGTGAAATGTTAGTCATTTTTTCTGAGAAATGCAAATTAACAATTATAAATGCATTTATTTAGAACCAAGCAGCTATAGACTTGAAAAAGATCAAATTGAGAGACAAAAATGAAACTGACTATAATTTCTTACAAAATCAGTGTCATCATAAATAGTTAATAAAGGGAAATACTTAGTCAACACTAGAGAAGAACAAAAAGTAAAGAACTGAAAGTGAAACTACAAAATATTGAGATAAGATGTTATAAATAACAAAGGCTTATTATACAAATGTGAATGCTTTAAAAATAAAATCAATAGTCATTTTGGCAGATAATAGTGATAAATCTGATATAACAACAGACTTCTTATAGGAATGGAAAGTATTATCATTTTATGCCTCCTCATACATTTGTCCTGCAAACACTATTTGGTGGACTCATATGTGTCCAAGTAAAAAAAAAAAAAAAAAAAAAAAAAGACACAAAACATGGAATTCAAAGAAAGAACAATTAATAAATGTATTAACAAGACATGTTATAGATTGATAAAGAAAGAAAAGAAGTTGAAGTTATTGACAATTCAATACAATCTTTTATCTGTGTCTTTAAAGTACATGCCTCATCTCTATTAGAGCAAACAGAATGTATCTTGCTGCCCCAAAAGTCAAAGGATAGGAGGAAGAGCCTTTCAAATATCATGCCACCTGTGATTATCGTCAGAGGCAGTAATCCAACAGATGAAATAAAGTTTGTGCTTCAAAATGTAAAATGCTAGAAAACACTAAGTAAAGATGGCATAGTAAAAGACATTTTGAAAAGAAGAATTCCACAAAGGATTAGCATAGCTATTCACCTAGTGCATACAGAAAAGAAAAGTACCTCAATAGTTCAGTTTTGGGATAGTAATCTTAATTTAAGGAAAAGGAGGTAAAAACTTGGTAACTACAGGCCTATCACATTATTATTGAATATATACAAATTATTCACAAAATTACACAAGCAACAAGAAAAGAAAGATAAATAAAAACAGTCGTGCAAGCAGATAAGTTTCAGGAATGGCTATTCAATAATACTCTATCTCCACACAATAGATCAACTGAAAAAAACAATAAGAAAGTTTATAAAGAAAACTCTATTGCATATACAATGTGACTGGATAAATTGTCATTAAATTTATGCAAAAATGAAAATAACACTGACATCTCATTTTAACAGATATAGTTACCAAAATTACACAAAAATATATTGAAATACTAAAGAATAATATAATAAAATTGCCATTTCCTTCAATCACTGCCTCCAGACGACTTTGAAATCTCCTGCAACACTTCTGGATGGTCTCCTTACCTTAAGTTGGTGAATGTTGACATTATCCTTGCCTTCAGTTCATCTTTGGTGTTACAAAGAGTTTTGTTGATCTCTTAGCTCAGTTGTGTCCCACACATAATAATCAAGGGGGTTGCAGTTTGGGGAGTTAGGTCTCAGGTGTAAGGGATAATGTAGTCACAGAAATTGTCTGACAGGCATAACTGGGTTCTCCTGCTTGTGTAGCATGGTACAGAGTCTGTTGCCAGACTTAGGATCTTCCAGCAGTCACCCTCTTGACCCAGGCCAGCATTACCTCATCAAGGCATTTGATTTAGGCATCCATGTTAAGCCTGAGGCCCTCACCAACAAATTCGGAAGTCCTTTTCTTATCAGAATGAGTTTTTCAAGCTGCTGTACTGTTGTAATCACCATTAGACTCATCCAACTCTTTCTGAATCCTCTGCATTGTCCTCAGATTAACACTCTGAAATGTTCATATTGAAACTTCCAGCACAAATACCAAGCAGTACAGCATGCCATTTCCAAATTTCTGGTAGAGTGAGTTGTGTGTCCAACTGACCCTACTATACTGTAAGGTTGACAAAATCAAAAACAAACCACTTGCATGCATGAAATTAAAAATATAAAATGGCGACAATTTACCCATCGCACCTTGTAATGCATAAAGGATCCCATTTATTTTCATGTATCAATACCTTAATTATGATTCAAAATTTATGTAAACATATCAAATAATCATAACTGAACTGAAGCCCAAACCATAATAATAAAAACAAAACAGTCTGTTTTTTACAGATTTTACACATGCACAATGAACTGATCATCAGAAGTTTAGAAACCAATGGTATATATGTTACCAAAGTCAATCTCATCATAGTTATAATATATAAGGTGTAAGAGCTTTCACTGTATATCTTTGCTTTTATACTCAAGCTGTCATCATCAACAAAGTTTGTTCTTCTCCCTTCCACATTTTGTATGTGGGTAGTCGGTTCTTAGTAAGCATTTTAAAAAACCAATTTACTATAGTGAAACGGTGTAATAACTCTAAATGCTAATCTCTTTTTTTAAGTATGTAGATTCATTCTGTATTTGCTAGAAATTTCCAGCAAACAAGCTTCAGGGAACATTTTTTTCATTGTTCTTCTTTACCTTCAGAAATGCTTTTAAGGCTTGAGTATATCAGTATCATAAGTTCAAAATCAGTTTCTGAGAAAGGAATCATAAATTCAATAAAAGGAATCATAAATTCAATAAAAGGAATCATAAATTCAATATGAAGCACCTTTTTGAGATGTTAGAGTATATTTCTCCTTGCAATTTCATGTGTCTGTGGAGTTTAAGTAAAAGCATGTTTTCCATATAATCTTTTTATAAGGTTGATTATTTTATCTGTAAATGATAGAGTGAAGGAATGCAATGATGGGTAAGAAATGTTTTTCTTCTCTCTTGCTTTCCCTTCCCCTGTCAATCTAATATATCCATCCGGTGTATTGTCTTCATTTACTAAGAGACTTTGGTTTTATCAGAATTTCTGGTAATTTTGCTGTACACATTATTTTGGATGGAACACCAAATTGCTACAAATCACTTAGATTTCAACTTGAATAAAGAAGAGATCAACTTCATCTCATAGAAATTCTCTGTATTTTTTTATGAAGAATATCTCTTAGAAATAAATTTTGTATTTTTATTAATCTTACTCGCTTTTTTTTTGTAATAAACAGTAAAGTACACTGTTACTATTTATTTTTATATTTTGAGTCAAAGTATCTAGACAATCAAATGTTTTCCAATATATGCTAATAACTCAGTATACAATATAGCAGTAAAAAAAAACTCCTGAAGTAGTCAAGCTGTTCTGTTGAAACTCAAGCCAGAGAATAATTACAGCAATGGGAAAGAACGAGAGAGAAAAAATGAGTAACTATTTACCAATATTATCTTAGTGTGGCATTAGACCAAACAAATTATGGTCACCAATAAGATTAATTTATTAAGTACTATTATTTAGTAGATGCCAAAAAAAGCAGTTTAGTGTGACAAATATAGAATTATATTGTAAAATGTGTTTGTGCTGTGGATATGATTAATCTGTATTTTTCTTGATACTTGTTTTTCAGATATGGTATAAATAAGAAAGGCTTGTTTTGTGTTTTGTACATGATTATTGAAATACTAAAGCGAGAATCTTTGATCAGCATTGAGCAGCTTATCAGACAAGTAAAGAAAAAAAAGAAAGAAATTATATCTGATTATGTAAGTAAAGCTTACTGCAAAATCAATTAATCTCATTACTAATAACAAAAAGACATTTTTAAACTGAATTTTTCTGAATTCGAAATGCTCCTCCAAAGGGAGATACCAGTTCAATTCCTGCCAGATAGTGCATTTTCTTTTAAAAGATTTCTTGAGTGTTCAGACCGGTAAACAAAATATAATACTGTTTAAAATAAACAGTGCAACTACTCAAATATGGGTATCCATTAAAAATATCATTTTAAGGTAATAAAATTATGTCAGATTAATAAATAAAATCCATTATTTCTTTAGAAATTGCCTTGTTTACATTTCGGATACAAAACTGAGAAGTTATGACTTTTGGAGATATGTATAAGTATGTTTTAAAGGCAAAATAGAACCGTGCTTAATTACAACACTCTTTGTGGCTGAGTGATTAAAAGTACCTTGGCTCTAACAACAGTTGTCAATAGTAACTCCAGGGGCTGGCCTACTCTGGCCAATACTGAGTAGTTCAACTAGCTATTTGAAAGCAATAAAAATATCTTGGAGCACATTTTTTATCCTTGACTTCAAGACAATTATCTCAAAGTGTTTTAATTCACTATTCTTTCTAGCTTTGTTTTAAATTCATGCCTTAAAATGGATGACTTAAATAAATTTTGCTGATAGTATTTTTACAAATACTACCTGAAGAAAAAAAAAGTTAACATCTCTCTAGTGATTGAGGGATTTGATTTTGGGTTCAAAAATGTCAGCCCAACACAACAAACAAAATTATCCTAACATGACTCAGGCAAATGGATTTCTAGCTGAACAAATTAGCCTAGCCTTCTACCTCTTTTGGGGAAACTACTAAAGGCTCTAATCAATGCTGAATTGGTTAAGCATCATTTTGTGTGTATGTGGGGGGTATGGGTTATGGTTTTAGAAACTCTAAACTTTAAACATGAGCTTTTTTAAAAAAAAGTTTTATTGCAGCTCCTATTGATAATAAAATTATTTTGGAATTCTTCACTCATAGTGAGTGCCAGATATACAGAATATTCCCTTTTATGAAATTTTTTTATCATTTCACCCCAAGCAAGGTGGGAATGCCACTAGTATGCAAGGGGTTACAGAGAAGGTGAGAGAAAAGACTGGGTATAGGGGTGACCGAGAAAGCTGAATGGGGTTCAAGAAGATAGAAGATGATGGTTAACATTGCAATTAAATTTTTGAAGATTGTAGTTATTAGGGAAGCAAGGAAATGGAACAGACTTCCACAGACAGGAATTGTGAGAAAGCCAGTGGGTGGTTACATTTACCTAATTCAACTGTAAAAGGATAGGGTGTAAATTCTAATGGGGAAGCTTGTCAGAGCAGTAGCCATGAAAATATTTGTAGAAAAGGCAAGCCACATCACACCAATGAGAAAGTGACTGAAGTCAAGATGACAAGTCAGGATTGATTACATTGCAGATCCTTCTTTGAATTTTGTCAAGAACCTCAAAATGCGTAGCAAAAGCATCTGACTAGATATGGCAATAGTATTCAATGCATGGATGAATGGAAGATTTGTAAATTAAATATGCAAGATGAACTCTGATGAGAAAAACCTTCTGGCATGACACAGTGACCCAATATTCTTTGTAGTAGATGCAGCTGTTGATTCAATATAGGTATGTCACATCAAATCAGTTTTGTGAGAACATGAAGCCAAGAATGTATAGTGTGTTGCTCTCCATGAGTCAAGCATCAGCCATGCTGATGGTGGGAATGATAATTTCTCTATGGTGGTTAAATGAGAGCAGTTTAGTTTTGGAGGCATTAAAATTTACAAGTCATTTCCTGCCCCAGTTAACCAGTGATTAGAGGTCCTTTTCCAGAACAGCAGCTAGGTTAACTTTGTCAACTTTGATGAATTTCCTATTGAAATGGTAGTATCATCAGCATAAATGCCTACTTGGGAATTTATGACATGAAAATCAGAAACAATGTAGGACCCAGGATAGAGCCTTGGTGGGGCACCAGCATTCATGTGAAAGGATCTGGAAGTGAGCCCATCCAAAATGACTTTCATCTCACAATTTGATAGGAATGATTAAATCAAACAAACATCCAGTAATACCGTAACCCTGGAGCTTACATAGAAGACTAGCATGCCAAACTCTATCAAACGCCTTTGAGATATCTAGAGCCACAGCTTAAGCTTCGCCATTATTATCAAGAGCTTGATATACATATTCAGTGATGGCCATTAGTAAATCAGTGGTAGATCTGGCAAAACAGAAACCATATTGTTTGTCAGAGAGTAGGCCATGAGAGGTAAGATGCTTAATCACATCAACATTGATTAAAGCCTTGAAGACTTTGCCGAAAAGTGGTAGGAGACTAATAGGGTGATAGTTTAGGAGTCAGAAGGTTCTCTAGAGTTCTTAAAAACAGGAACTACAGAGGAAGACATGCAACAAGCAGGAAAGCAGGAAGCAGCAAGGCAATAGTTGTAAAGTTTGGAGAGGACTGGAGCCAACTCAGAATCACATTTCTTTGGGATTCCATCACCTCTACTGGGAAAATCCCTTGAACTACAGTGTCACACGTAAACTAGGAATACCCAATGAAGGGCATCACTTCACACTGGAGACAATGCAGTGGTTGATACCTGGTCCTTGATGATCATGACCAGAACAGTCTGGTGAGAATTCTCTGGTAACAGATAAGCAAGACTTTCTCAAATCTTATCCACATTCATGGGGATACCATATCCAGCAGGTTAGTTCAGCATTATCACCATAGACTTGATGTTTAATCATATAAGTACAATGTAATTTGCTAGAATAAAATGAATTCTCATTACAAATATAATTTAAGATTTGTTCCTAAGATATCTCCTTTGAACCTTCCTCTCTTATTTCAAATTTAGTTGAATAATAGAAGAATGTTTTTCTGCCATGAAAAATTGATTAATAGGAATAATTGGTCTACATCAATGGATAGAAACTCAGACATTATGTGAGCAATTCAGTGTTACAACAGAAATCATCAATAATAATTTATCAGAATTTGAAATTAATGTTTGAATTTCACTTTGAAATAATAAAATCATGTTTAATTTTTTTCTTTTACAGTTGTCATACCAGTACTGTTGGCTAGTAGCAAAGATCTTCTTAGAAGACTACACTGATTTATCTAACCAGAGCTGAACAGCCAAGACATTTAAACAATTCTACCATAAAGGCTACAATTATTTACTAATATTTCTATGTAATATACAGAGACAAAACTCTTCCCAAAGTAAACCACATATGTCTTAATTTAGCATCTCATATAAACTTGAATATATATCTTTATTATTGAATATACTTCCTGCATACATGTACAATTATGTATCTCATCTACTGTCTATTTGCCTTGTATATATGTATATAGATATAAAATCTCCCCAGAAAGTATATAGGCATTCTGAATATCTATAAAACTGGTTGCACAAATCTCATATAATTTGGCAGCTTATCAAAGAGGGACCTTACAGCACATGTGTGAACAGAAACTCTCCTTTAGGGATTACTCAATCAGCAGTTAAATGCTACTACATGAGTTTGTGTGTTGTCTGATTGTTGCATTGTTTTTTGGCAAACAGTTAAATCACACAAGCCTTTCAACACACTGTAGTTCCAACTTTGGCTTCCTGTTTCTTCTGGCTTTTACAAAAGCTAATATTTCCACTGAAAAAAAAGGAGATATCAGACTGTGGATAAGATTAAAGAGAATGCAATGAGGCAGCTGATGATGTTGATCCCAAAAGTGGACTTTGCAGATTGTTTTGAAAACTGGAAGGAAAGTTGAGTTTGAGTTCCCAAGAGGAGTACTTTGAACAGGAACTAAGGTGCTATTTTTCATTATTATTATTAACTAATTAAATCCTTTCCAGACAGGCCTTGTATACATACACACATAGTGTGTCTATTAATTGGCATGTTAGATCTTTAAACATCATTCAGTATTATCAGATCACTTTATACTTGACTCTCCTATTGTAATTTTGTGCCTCTATGATCTCATTTCCAAAAAACTGTCTGATCTCAGTACTTGTTTTATTAATTCAAAATGTATAACTTATGTATATAGACAAAAAAAATTACTCTTTTACTGAGCATAATTAATCTCTTGTAATCCATTATTATTAATATTATATTTGTTTACTAACCTACATATATTCACATGAATTATATGAAGTTTTCCACTTATTCTGAAATTTTATTAATTACTAACATATATCTAAAGGAATTTTTCCCACCCAACATTTCATTTTGGAGCATAGTTTTTTGTTTATCAAATTAAGAGTATAAAGCAATCATCATTTTTTTTCCTTTTATTCTGTTTTTACTTAAAAAAGTTACCCTATTGATCAAAATGAGATCATTTGTATACTAAAAGTATATACTATATACAGCCTATAAAAAAAATTATGTGAATACATAGGACACAAATCCATAATCTGATAGATTTCATCTCTAAAGCTAGAATGCTGTATAAAAACATCTCTAAAGTAGAATGTTGTATAAAAACATGTCTAAATAAAATATATATTTATTAATATAGGTAAAAATCCTCAGCTGAATGAAAATCTTTTTCTGCTGTATAACAGCTGGAAAAACTCCACACTAAGCTCAGAAATAGCTAACATCATAACCCTTCTTGTTAATACTAATCTAAAAAAAACAATGCTAGGGCATAAAAGCAGTTCAGCAGGGCCTGTGTGTACTACCCCTGAACCCATCAACTAGTGAGGATGCCCAAGCCTTATTAGCGGCTTCAGGCAGTGCTTTGTGACCCTTGCTATCTCATCAACATTTGCTTTTTCCTACCTACATTTATGTTACAAATTAAAACTAAGCACAACTGACTATTAAAGGAGGAAAAAATTTTGACCAATTTTAATGTCATTCTGGGTTTTTTTTTCATCCTAATTTGTGAATTTGTTTTGCTAATGCTAAGTCTTGAAAAAACACTCTATATACACTATTTTTTTATTCATAATGTTGACTGTGTTAAAATTATTCAACTTTTTAATAAGAAAAATCTCATGTTGATGTTAAAAATTGCTGCAAAACATTGATTTACTTAAGATGGAATGATCTATTATGATTCTAATTTGTATTTAGATACATTGTATTTTATCTTCAGTTTTTTTAGTTGTTCAAAATTATTTTATAAAACTTTTTTCTGTCATTCACCACATCAATTGTAACCAATGCCAGATTTACATACTGGCTAGTATGGGCTGCAGCCCATGAGCTCCACTGCTAAAGGGGCCTCCTAATAAAACTAAAAAAATATAAAGATATAAGAATGGAGACAATTTGTTTCTTTTCAGATTTAATAGGACTCCTTTAAACTAATTTGAAACAATTTAGAGTATTGTGTCCCTCTTTACTCGAAGTGTTTTATCTTTTATACCAGAAAAGCATCATCTAGAAATATCTTTTTTTTATAGACACAGAGGAGCAAATATAAGTAATGAAAGGACTCACAAATTCTATTAGCCCATGGGGCACTTAAGGCCTAAATCAGGTCCTGGTTGTAACATTTTGCTAATCACTACTGCTATGCTTCTCTTCCTGATATTACTCAAGAGCATCTCTCTAATTGCTGTTGTTATTACCCTTCTCTACTTCATTATGACTATTCAGTTCCCTACCCTTAATATGTAAAGTGGACTTTGTTGTAATTGTGAGTATTCAAAAGGGATTTAGCAAAAAATGCATTTTGCTCAGAGACATTTTACCAAGGAACTTATGGTGATGGTGGGGGATTTGAAGTACTGGTTTTATTTTACACATTCTTTATCTGTTGATTTTTTTAATTTTTTTCTTTTGTCCCTTAAGGTTCAATCTTCAGTCCAAAACTTCTTTCTACTTTACATAACTGATCTGCCTAAGAGTATAATTCAATCATTCGCGAATATCTATGTTGATGATACAACTGTATATACCTCCAAAACTCTAGATGAATCTTACCTCTGCCTTTGGCTGGTCACATTCAATGCCTCAAAAACAAAACTAGTGACATTCCATCATCACTGAGTGGACCCAAAACTTCCACTGACCACAATGCCTTGAGCATCTATTGGGACTTAAACTCAACCTGGACCTCAAGTGGATATATGATCAATGGCTAAAGATGCTGGAAAAATAGTCAATTCCCTGTACCACTCTAGTAAGTATCTGACTCCTCCTGCTACCCTCTACTTTTACAAAGCCAGATCAGCCCAAAAATGGAGTACTGATGCCATATATGGGCAGCACCTGCCCAGTCTTCACTCTCAAGTCTTGATAGAGTCCAAAATATTTCAGATTCCTTGTGAGTGACAAATTATTTCTCACCCTATATCCCTTTCACACAGATAAAACATTACAAGCCTCTCGTTGCTGTTGCTATTTCCATGGAAAGTGTTCAGACAAACTAGATTCCTTAGTTTCACTAGATCTATTCTTCATGGCTAAGACCCACCATTGTAGTGAACCACCCTCATTTCATTCATATTCTATTGACTAGGTGTAATTTTCACTTAAGCAGCTTCTTCCCATGAGCCACTACTTTGTGAAATTGACTCCCAACAGGATGCTACCTCAGTTACTACAATCTTGGCTTGTTCACATCAAGGGTCAACCATTACCTTCCCCACATATCACCATAAAACTGCATCTTTTACTCTGTAACCCTCTACATCAAGTGGTTCTTGGATTTTGTACAGCGCAAACATCACTGTTTAAAAAAAATACATTTGCTCCATTCTTTCTGTTTCATGTTTTGTTTCAGTTTTACATTTTTGTCCCTTAGTAAACATATTAATTGCTTGATAGTTATTGATTTCAAGTATTTTTATTTAATTAGTCCAGTTTATTTTGGAGGAAAAGAACTTAATTTAAAAGTGGGATTCTTGAACATAAATCATTTTTTTCTACCATATGATGACAAAATATCTTTTTTCTTTGAAAATTTTGGAAAGGTTAGGACATTTTTAAAGCAAAAATGGCTAAAACTTAATCATAGAATTATTAGAAATTATATATATATTGTCATCACCTACACCTAACCTATACCTCCTTATACACTTTTCAATCAGCATGATTTCTGCATATCAACAGACACTAAAAAACTAACACATTAAACACAACATTCTCATTGGTTAACCAAAACCAATGAGATATCTTTCTGTTAAAATCCAAATCTCGATTTGGGAGCAAATCATCAGGTATAAAACATCTGACCCCAGCCAGCCCAAAAGGAGAGACATTTTAAGAAGGCATTTCACAAGCCACACAAATGCTCATCACTCCACTGAACATCTCCACTCTTTGTAGATTTAACATCACAAGAACATCTTATGAGAAACACTATAAACTTTATTTCTACAATGTTTCATCTGCTCAACCATGAATCTAGTGGGTCTTTCAACTAAGTGTTTTTCTCATCATCAAAGTTCTATTATGTATTCACTATTGTAATAAATGTTGTATTTATCTAACTCAGTAGTAATCTCAATTTTATATTATTGATTGCAGAAGGAAAAAACCTTCACCAACAGATACAGAACTATGCAACAAAAAAACAGGCAAACTCCCAAAATTCTACCTTCCTCCTTTTCCAAATGCTAACTGCAACAATATATTATATTATATTATATATATATATATATATATATATATGATAAAATATAGTTTTAAGGTATGTTATATTCATGGATAAAGCATATGTAAATATAAAAGTGGACACTGAAGTCAACACCAAATGGCAACAGTATGTTTCATGCTTGAACATAATGACTTGAACATTGCATGAAACAGACTCATCAATTGGTCTATTACATAAAAGTTAACATATTTACATATGATGTTTATATCTATATTTGTGCATGGTTACATATTTTATATCTGATTTTGAAATAATATGTTTTCATTGTATTAAGAAAAATGAAACATACCATTGAACAAGGATCATCAGAAAAGTCAAGGTAGTGATTGCCCACTAAATTGAGATGTTATTTGCACACTTGTCTCAATGCTACTGGCTTATAAATGACATTATTTTGCCTATTTGTCACAGTAGATGAAACAAAATCAGTGTCCATGAAAATATTAGGTTTATAAGAAACAATTCTTGAGGTATTGAAACCCTTTGTGATATTTACAGGAATCAC